ATTCTTTCTTTTAAAAAATTTAAATAAACCATGGCTATATTAAAGCTTTTTCTATGGAGATAGGAATGAGCTGCAAGAGAGAGAGTGGACAACTGAAGCCTCAAAGGCCTTGAGCAAGAGAAAAGGGATAAGATCCAATACACGAGTGGAGGTATGAGGCAGTAAGAGGAGAGACACCCTTGCTCCTCTGTAGCAGAAGGAAATAGATGGTGCACATGGAGATTAGTTGGTGTTGGCAAAAAGAAGAGGAAGTATAGTCAGCCCTCCATATCTATGGGTTCCACATTCATAGGATCAACCAGCTGTGGATGAAAAATTCTCAGAAAAATAAAATAATACAATAGTAAAAAGTAATAGAAATTTTAAAAAAATATAGCATAACTATTTACATAGCACTTACATTGTATCAGGTATTATAAGTAATCTAGAGATGGCTTAAAGTATATAGGAGAATGTATGTAAGTAACATGCAAATGCCACATACATCATTTTGTATCAGGGACTTGAGCATCTGTGGATTTTGGTATCCTTGGGGGTCCTGGAAGCAATACCCCATGGATAAGGAGAGACAACTATATATGTCCAGGGGCCTCCATCAATTTCGTGAAGCATGAGCAAGGGCGGAGGAACGGGAGTGGGGATTTGCTGAGGAAAAGTAGTAGTCTCCAGAAACAGAAGCCTAGAGAGAGATGTGGCCAGACCACTGGGGCTCATGATCAAGAATGAAAGTGAAACTAGTCAGCTCCCTTGTGAGATTCTTTCCCACTAATCAGAAGTAGAAAATGTTGTCATCAGGACTGGAGTTGGCCCAGGCAAGTTCACAGAAAGGAGAAAAAAAAAAAAAGCGGAGATAACAGCAAGGGACTGATTATAATGACAGGCCATGGAATCTGGGCTAGCTGAGGTGACAAAGGCAGGCAGGAGGGCAGAGGGTGCTGGGTATTCAGGAAGCAGTGGAAGCCTCAAAGAAGCGGAAGTAGTATGGGGCACAGGGTTGGGGGCAGGGGTGTGTGAATAAGTGTGCCAAAGGCCAGCAGGATGTTAGACACTGAGACTTCCTATGCCAAGGTCCAGGGTGTGGGCATGCAAGCGGGAGGCTGAGTGGGAGTACAGCAGAGGATGCTAGAATCAGGAGCCCAGAAACTGAGAGGATGGGGTTGGACTAGAAGGTCTGTAAATGACAGCAACCAAGAGGAGCAAAGAGGGGTATAAGGAGGTAGCATAGGCTACAAGAGGATTCCAACGGTGTGAAAGCAGCAACGGAGACCAAACAGATGAGGGACAGGCATTGCAAAGGGCAGAGTTTTCTTTCTTTCCGTTTTTTTCTCTTTTCTAGGTAAAAGTAGAAGTCAGCAACTCTATGGCTGCAGTGGGAAAAAAATGGGGAAGAATGTGTAGGTGTGGTGGGTTTGCCGGCTCGTGATACCCAAAAGTCTGGGGACCCCTGATATAGTTCAATTTTTTAAGACAGGGTCTTGCTTTGTCACCCAGGCTGGAATGCAGTGGTGTGATCACGGCTCCCTGCAGCCTACACTTCCCGGGCTCCAGCGATCCTCTTACCTCAGCTTCTTGAGTAGCTGGGACTACAGGCACGCACTACCACACCGAGCTAATTTTTGCATTTTTTGTAGAGACGGGGTTTTGCCATGTTATCCAGGGTGGTCTTGAACTCCTGAGCTCAAGCCATTCTCCCACCTTGGCCTCCCAAAGTGCTGGGATTACAGGCATGAGCCACCGCGCCCAGCCCCAATTCCTTTCATTTTTGAGATTGGGGAGCACAAGCTGGCCCAGTGTCACACCACAGCAGCTGAGCCAGGACTCAGATCACCTGCTTCCCAGGCACTGCTCCTTTCCAGTGCCCACTCTGTGCCTGCTGATAACTACTGGCATGTAGACTGACTGCTAAAGTCAATTTGTGTTAGGAAGCCACTTCTGGCTGTCCCTCTCCGTCCCTTACTGGGCAAAAAAATTTCCCACTCGGTCTACTTAGTAAGTGACATTGCCAAGATCTGAAGACAGATCCGGCTGCCTACCCCATCCCCAGCTCCCCAAAGTGCCTTTAGCTGGGCACTTAAGGTGCTTTCTATTTTAGCCCTAACTTCCCTTGGCTTACTCTGTCATCCTTATAGCTTCCTATAGCCAAAAAGAGCTGATGAGCTGTTCAGTGAGTCTCCCTCCCTCCCTGCCTATGCTCATGATGCTCGCTCTACATCTTGCCCCTACATCTCTTGTAGAAATCTTTCCTATAACTTTCCAAGCAGGGGTAACAAACTCAAATGCCCTCAGGAAGCAGACGAGTAGAAGAAAGCTTCTACTTCACTAAGCTGGGTTGGGTCCCCCATACCACCCTTGAACCGCCTAGATCCTTGATCAATCTCTCTCTCCACATCTGTCTATGAGGCCCCGGCGACCACAGGACCAGATAGCCACCCCGAGTGCTGGGTGACCCGCCGCCTCCTCCTTCCGTCCCAGCCTCAGGCGCTTACCTTGGCCACCTCCCAGGCGTCCACGGGCCAGCGGCCCGGCCGGCAGTTTCCCCAGTGCACGTCTCCATTTCTGTTGACGTGATGTCTCAAAATCTCCTGTTTCCATTCAGCGCACACCTGACACTGAGGCTGAAACTACAGGAGGCGGCGGTGAGGAGGGGCCCAGGAGGGAGGGGCGTCGCGGTTGGCCCTGCCTCGCGGAGGGAACAGGACACTTGCGCTCTGGGTCTGGGACAGGAACGGGGATGAGGAGGGGTGGGGTGGGCACGGTGGTCAAGGCCCCGAGCCAGGTGCTCACCTGACGGGCGCGCGGGCTGCATCGTGAGCCGCCGCGGCAGACGGCGCGTGGCCCCAAGCCGGGGGCTGCGGCGAGTAGGCCGTGGTGGAAGGAGAGCACCTCACGGCCGACGAAACCCTGCAGGCAGCTGCGCAGCAGCAGCAGGCAGTGGCCCGCCTTCACCCAATTCTTGTACTCAGCGCAGTTGAGGCGCGCCGCTAGCTCCGACAGCACCATGGCTCCCCGCTTGTACCCAGGAGACTGCGGGGCGTGACGGACAGCAGTGCGCAGGCGCGGAGCCTGGGAGGTGCCCGAGGCAGCGGCGCCGGCGCCTGCGCCTGCGCGGCGCGGCGCCACCGATCCCGGGGCGGGGCGTCTTGACTTCCGGGGCACGTCGGCTCCACCCCACTTGGGTGACGTCTAACGTCTAAGAACTTTGGTGCTTGGGGAAGCAGCCGCCATTTGAAACCCTTAGGCCTTCTTCGTCCCCGAGACCCTGTCAGCATCCAATTCGACTTCCTCTCCTAATGTAGGGCACTTCTGTTTTAACTTTTTTTTACTGTACAGATGTACAAGATGCTCAGGGTACATTACTTGAATCGTGTGTGTTCTTTGCATTATACAATTCTAGAGTTACTGGTGCCTAAGCCCACACACCAGCTGTAGCAAATTGAGGTATTAGTGAACCGTGACCGCTGGCTGCCGGCGGTGTGCCAAGCTGACCCAAAACTCAAAATCCCCCGCCACTGGACCACCTAGAAGGGGGGCATTTGCCAGTTTAGGGCAACACATCATTTGGATTCTAGAAGGCTGCACATCTGAGCCAGATAAGGACATCCTGAAGCACCTAGCAAAGGTTAGACAATAACTATCTAGTATTCTTGGTTATATGATAATTAGTGCTCCTTGCACATGGAAGTCTGATTTAAGTTCCAAAGAAGTGCCACAAAGGTCAGAAGGCATTGGGATTGTCAACTCCAAGTGACAAGTCAAGTCAGTTTTAGTTGTTTTTAGTGAGCTTTCTGAGCTTGGAAAACATGTCAAAATTGTGTGTAGTTAAGTCTCTGAGGAAAGAGTCCAAAACATTAAACCTTCCCCTGACTGTGGTTCACAGCAAAAATGCCCAGTGTTTAGAAGCACTAGCTCAGACTCAAACTGCCCCTTCTTAGCAGTTCGATCTTAAGCAACCTTAATTTGATCTCAGGCAAATTACATTTCTCTCGGCCTCCATTTAGTCATTTTTAAGAGGAGGATATCAATAACCTACCACATTGGGTTGTTGTGAGGATTAAACACAGATTGAAATATTAAGAAAATGCCTAGCACATAGTAAGCTCTCAATAAATACTTGCTATTATTTTATATTGACCTAAATATGCCCTTTCACCAATCAGTTATATTCTTGGGCAAGGTATTTTAACAAATCACTGGTCACTTGGAAGTGGAGGCAACTTACAGAAAATTTTGAGCATATCATGGAGTTCCTGGAGTTGTGCAGCACAGTGCTGGTTGGCCTCTGCTAACTTTGCCTTAATAACCTCAATGCTAACTCCATCCTAAGTAAATTTAAATCACATCCTTAGACACAGTGTCCATTCTCAAACCAAATGAAAAAAAAAAAATTCCACAAGAAACAATGAAATATACATTAACATTTTCCCTCTATGTCCCTTGAATGTAAGTTCTCTTAAAATTTTCTGTATACTGATTTTATATCAAGAACACTTGGATGATAAATAAATATTAAGGTAAAATGTAACAGACATTTCTTTTGGGGGGAAAAAACTATGAAAGGAACAACTTTTTATATTGAAATTGGATCAGAATCCAGGGTAGCAAAGTTATAACTTCTTCAAGTTATCAAATTAACCACAGCCGAAAGAATGGCTGTTAGTATCCTTTGGCTGAACAGATTACTGTGTTAATTAGAACACAGTTATTAGTGGCTCTTAAATTCAAAGTCATATATATTTGTTTATGCTTGCACTTAACTCACTCAGTTAATTTTCAAACATAAGGTTCAGCTCCTGTTATTAACAACTTGACATGTTCTGTTGAAGCTCTCACTTTTCTTCTAATTCCGAAAGTACTTTTATACATTCTGAAGTGGCATTTCAGCAGATGGAAAGATGAAGATGGCAAATCAGGACCAATTTCTTATTTCAAGGTTAAATTAATACTAAACCAGACTATTAACGAAAACATATTCATCAAAATTAACTAGAGAGAGTTGGTAGTTCTCTGAAACTTTGTATAAATTTTATTTATTACTGGAAAATACTAAAATCACATTGAAAACACCTTAAAGTTAAGTCCCAACCCGATTATTAGAGAAAATCACTTGGACATCCAGTCCCTTTGATTGAACCTGGGTAACAAAAGAGGCAAAAGACATGATTTGTGATGAAACTTACTATTCAAATGCTAAATGTTTTCAAGCTTTAATAAGGTATATATCAATTCCAAGTACCAAGCAGAATATAAAAATTCAAATTCATGGGTTTACTCTTAATAAGCATCAAAAGCAAATTCTGTTCACTGAATCCTATCTTTTGATTGGCACAATGCATTCAGAGATGAGTTATAATTAGGAGAAAAGAGCGTCCACTGAATGCATCATGTGTAAAAATGCAATTAACATTTCAAAACCACATTAAAAGGGAAAATACCTAAAAAGTTAACTCTTAATAAAATTATTTGAAACAATATTATCCTGCAGATAAAAATACATTTCTTGTATATACATGTAGATTTCTACATGAAAGAAAAGATTCAGCTCCAAATAGAAAAGGGCTGACCCTTGACAAAGACATCTTAGATTGCCAAACTGATGTGATTACCACTGTAAGAACTAAAAACAGAAGGATAAAAAGGTTAAGTTAAAGGAAGGATAAAAGTTTAGTCAACTGCTCCTGAACAGTGGCAGAGTTGGGTGAGAAGTGGGAGATGAAGGCAGAAATAAGACAAAGAAGAAAGGCAAAGAAGGCCTCAACTCTGATTGAAAATGAGTGGAGAATCAAGCAAAGTTGAGAACAGATATGATATAGGTGCAGTGAGACACTTGAAACTAGAATTTGGTAGTTGATAGTTATAGAAGCTCAATTAAATCATCTTAAAGTAGAATTAGACAAAGCATCTACATTTTAATGGAGAACCAGTATTACAGTGACCAGATAACTCAGCATGGTATTATCATTTAAAAATTTTTCCTAAATACCATGAAGTCAGTAGAAGACCTTTGCATCAGATCATGTTCTTTGAAGCTGAAAAAAGTCCCTGACTGACTAGGAAAGACAGCACAGTACTCCAAAAAGAAACCCTGCAGAGATGTATCAACACCAAAAACTCCATTTGACCCTGGACAGGCCCAGGATTTGGGATTCTTCAAAATGAGGGGAATGGACCAGGTTTCTTCCAAGCAAAACATTCTATCGTTTTGTTGACAATGAATTAAATTGAAATTGTTTAGAACAATCCCAATTTTGGTGGGGAAGGCAAGGAAGATAAGCAAGATAAAGAAAGCTCACAGAAACTTCATGCAGGGGTACAGCATTAAAGTTCTTTGTTTCCTAATTAATGTTGTATGCAGAAGTATTCTGTAAACTAAATTTTCCTGATAGAAAAGTTCCCACATCCTCAACAAATGAGAATGATTGCATTATTTGGGATCCTTGATCAATATGAACCACGTACTGTCCCTTCTCAAAGACTAAGTTCCTTATTTTTCACCCAAATCCTATATATTGAAAGACAACTGAGGTGCTAAATGTTAACCACTAGTCAAGTTAGGAATGTCTGAAGAAAATATATTAACCTTGACATAAAGATGATGTTTTCGGTCAAATTTCAGACATGTATTATTATAAATTAATAACTGGCTCCATCCACCAGGTTAAAGATGAAGGAGGGCCTAAGATGTCTCTTAGAGTTTATATACACACAAGTGAGTGTCACTGTTTTGTTTTGTTTTTGACCTAGTTTTATTAAATATTGCTTCCTTGGGGTGTGTTTATAACAACTCCCAGAACATTTCATGTAAGGATTCAAAGCGGTCATATTAAAATACAGCTTCAATATAAAGTTTATCACAGTTTTACAGTATTCAAAAATGACAGACCTGCCTTAAAAAACAAAACAAAAACCAAAAAAGGACTATTACACCCAAAACATAAGAAAACAATTAAATAAACAAGTTTGGCATTTTCATAACTTTATAGTATAAAACAGAATATTAAATTTATTACTGGCAAACGGACACTGATTTATTTCCTTTGAAATGTGTCCCATTTAAACACACTATACAAGTTCATTATACAAAAGATTGATGATCATTTTGATGAAAGAAGTGCACCCTGAAAATTTTTGCCAGTTTAGAATATTTAGCTCTTAAAGTTTTTTTAAAAAGTCCTTTTCCTTTTTTAAACTGAAGGCTGAATTCAGATTTTTTTTGTTGTCTCATCTGTCAGCCTTCCTGGTTTAAAAACAATAGTGTCTATGGACGCCCACCAGGGGGCAGTGTAAGATTAGCCATTAAATCACGAACAGCTGCAAATATTGTGCATTCACCTGCAACAGAGAAAAATGGTCATTAGCTATTCGCAATACAGGTAAGATGATGTTAACACACCGGTGGGGGAAGGGGTAATTAAATCTAAAATTAGTAAGAACTTTAAAGATCAAAATAAAAGACAATTTTAACTGCCCAGATTATTGGGGATTAAGCTGTGGTGTTAAGTATCAGATTATATTTATTTGGATTTTTTTTCTCAGGAGGAAACTTCGGGCAAGTCCCAGTTAGGTCTGAATTTAGGAAGATATGCCTAGAGTTTCTGTTTAGAAACAGTGTAGCATTAGATAAGCCTTTGAAGTTGGGCTTTAAGGCTACTGAGTGCTTATGGGCATTTTGGATATCATAAAAACATCTAGTTTATATTTATGCATTAGTTACAACTTTGGTGGTATCTTTCAAACATTGCATTAAAGGCCAGATAGAAAATTTTTATGACAGCGCTGTCCAATAGAACTTTTTGTGATGATGGAAATGTTGTATAAGTGTGCTATGACTACTAAGCATTTGTAATATAGCTATTGTGACTGAGGAACTGAATTTAAAGTTTTATTTAATTTTAATTAAATTTAAGTAGCCACATGCTGGCTAGTGGCAGTTATACTGGACAGTGCAAGTCTCTGACATCTATTGGAGTTTTCTCCCAAAATTCAAGGAAATGGTCAACTTCCAGAGTTCAACATTAAAATCAATTATATACAAAAATGATTTTTCTTAAAAGCACTTCATCAGAAGAGAAGTGATGGGTGTGGGAGGTGGGGTGGGAGACTGAAGTATGGTGCACCAACAATCCAAAAACAAGATTTGTGGGTGGGGAGGGTGCTGGCAATTCATCCCCTCAACTTCCCCTTTGCTCAAAGAAACCAAATACTCTGCTTCTTGTAAATATTACAAGTATTTAAATATTATAAACCAAAAGCTGGATCCCTTCCTCTAGAGCATGGTCTAACACTATATACAGTGGCTGAAAGTGGGAGAACTGAAGACCTCATGTGAACCATCGCCTTTCAGCAAAGGGCAGGATGTGCAGTGATCCTGTGCACATGAGAAGGTACAGAAAGAAAAGGAAATCCAAAGGTCTGCCCAGTCCAAGGGGGATAAAAAAGGAAAACACTTCCAAAATATCTCAACAATTTCTTAAAAGGAGAAGTGATATTGTTTTTTAAAAAACACATTTTCATTATTGATAGGCAGGAAAACTTGCTTGATCCCAATTGGATCAAAACATTTTCCTTTTAATTTTAAATTCCACAAGACATAATACATAAAAACACTTAAGATAATGATAGCCATCTTCTTGTGAAGGAATGGTATTTATTATCAAAGTTCTACTGGACTGTTACTTTGAGAATTCTGATAGCTTTAAACTTTGATTCTTGAGGACCTATTTTTAGCTGAAAGAAGAGAGAAGTCAAAGGATGAAAGCAGAAAATTTTAAGAAGTAGAAGAAGTATTACAACAAAAGAAGCACACCCTTCTCTACTGCCCAGTGTATTCCTTATACACTAAAGTGAGAACTCGCCTGCATATCCAATGTGGGGAAACAAATAGTTAAATATATCATTTCTTTCCTGATTCCTAGTTCTAGAAAACTTTGGACACTGTAGTACCTAAAAATGTTTCAGAGAACAACTTTCCCTCATTTAAAAACATAATTGTTATTTAACTATTCTAAACAGAGAGATACAGAGAACTTCCTTAATATTACAAATAAGCAAATTTTAAATTTAAATTTCCTTAATATTAGAAATGAGCAAAATGGAAGAAAAGTTCTCTTGGCTGAGCTTTGTATTTCGCAACCCCAAATTTAGCACTGCCAGGAGTTACGTGTTAAGTGAAGGCTACTACAGTATTGCAGGGACCTTGTTTATCTTTCTAGAAACATTCTGGTTTCCTCGGAAATGTTCAGTTTGAGAGCTTCATTGTGCACATGGTGAAAAGCTTCACTTGCACCCACCTGACACTTATGTAAGAAGCCCAAAAAAGCAGTAATGCCATTTGTATCAGCTTTTATTCTTCACAAAACATTTAGAAGATACAGAACTTTTAATAATATTCTTCTATTCATGATTGAACCATGAAATATGAGAAACCAACATGCATTTCAACTTTGTGATGTACAGAGTGGCAGGTATTGATGGTAGGGCAGGAATTCACAGCCATGGAAAGTTCTATCATCCTAACCTAGGTCTTTGTGGCAATGTGTGCTATAAATACAAGCTTCTGGCATTAGCAACTGGGTCAGTCCCAATAGTAAGTAAATCACTAACAAAAAGTCCAGGCAGCAGAGAAACGGACAAAAATGAAGAACCAGTGAGAAAGGAAGAAAGCGACAGGCAGACATTAAGAGGGCCACAGCAACCAGACCTCTACTGCTATGACTGGGTGGTAGAGTAGGTGAGGAGGGAGAAGAGAAGAGGAGAAAGGGGTGTCTCTCAAAAGCACTTTTATAACATCTATGCAATAAAATATTTTCTACTGGTCATGTACCTTGTCGTGGTGGATTCATCTCTGCAAACCTCTTCAGAATGTTGCTGACCATCATGGGAGCAGCAACAGAAGAGTTCTGCTGTCTGGGAATGTCTGCCTGCTGGGTTGTACCTGAAGCCATGTCATAAATGATTGGAACTATAATACTAACAGGTTCTTGGGGAGGGACCGATGTTTTCTGAGTTAGTTGAAGCTGTATACACACAACACACACAAAGAGAATAAAAACATCATAAAACATCTGTCTAAATGTATCAAAGGTACTATCATTTACTATGCTTTCAGATTAAGATAAGCAAGCAAAAGAAAATTACACATGACAAGAAAAGTGACAAACAACTGAATATTATGGTTAAGATGCAACTGTGCTACACAATTACCTGGTTCAATAAATTTCTGTTTATTACTAAAGGAACCAGGATGTCATGACATCTACGCTGACAATTAAGGAATCCTGGGCTCTATTTGGCAACAAAAGATAATTTATGCAGTTATCCAAAAGTTGCTCTATTATCACGTGGCTTTCTCCTCAGAAGCTCTGTACATGCACAGATGCTGGGTGGTACTTACAAAAAATAGCATTTTGGATTTCAGCACCACAGCAGGCGTCCCAGGAGGTGCAATTGGTGGTGCGCTGGGAGGGATCGTTAGGCAAAACTGAACATTCCATTTCAGCTGTGTTGCCTGGTCAGGGAACTGTTTTGAGGGGGAAAAAAATCAAGATAAAGGCATATAAACATTTAAAATTATATTCTACTACGAAAGTCTGAGAGGTTAGAATTTTGTTTCATACCCAATTATTAACAGAACATAAAGTTGATAACCTACACTTTTTCAAAACAAATATATACATGAAGTTGCTAACTGAAAAGTCAAGTGTGGATTTATGTAAGATTTCCCCCTTCCTTCCCTCCCACTTCGTTAATTCCTAAGGCCTATGGATTCAGCTTCTGCAGTATCTCTGACACCTGTTCCCTCCTATCTATATTCATTGAGGCCACCATGTGCAGGGCTTTATTACTTCTCCTGTGCTCCCCTAACAGCTCTTTCCAGTGGCTGCGTCTTTTAGTCCATCCTTATACCACCATCAGACATAGGTCCTACAACATGGTTCTACTCAAGCTCACAAATGCTCAGTGACATTTAGTGACATATGCTGTCCCCCTACCACCCACAACTGAGGACCAACACCTAGCATTCGAGGCCCTTCTTAACTGTGCCAATCTAGACTTCCCAGTCCTGTTTCCAACTCTTACCCTAAACAAACTAGTCAAACTGTGTGAAAGATTTTAAAATTATATCCATTGGTGCTTTTTTTGCCACATAAATATTTACTCCTTTAAAAATTCAAATGGATTTCTTTTTGACATAAATAATGTTTCCTACAGCCTATTAGATCAGAAGCCAAATGTTGAGACTATTAGCAAAAGAATACTATTGCCCCAATATGTATAGTAAAACGCTAACTAAAAAACCAGTGAGGTAATTGAAGTTACTCAAATCAACACTAGAAACATTAAAATGAAAAGACCACTGTAAGATTGAAAAAATATATCAGCTGCCATCTTGATTCCATCTATATAACTACATACTTTCACAGGAAAGAATTCAAAATCTCCCCATACAGAGAAGATTGATTATATGATAAATTAGCATCTGAAAAAGTTGGATCCATACCTCCTCACATTTGACACCAAAACAAAGTGAGACCCTGTCTCAAAATAAATAAATAAAAATAGATTTAAAAATTTAAATAATTAAAAAAATGAATCCAAATGGTATTAGAAAAAAACTTTGGGAGGATTATTTCAAAATCTGGGAGTGAGAAGAATCTAACAATGATACAAAATCAGGAAAACTTAAAAACCAATATTGATATATTTATACTATTTAAAAGAAAATTTTGCATAGCTAAACCTACCAAAAGTCAAGTCAAAACACAAATGAAAAACGAGGAAAAAATATTTACAATGAATATCCCAAGGGGCTAACTTCGCTAATGTACATACCCAATTCCTACAAATCAAAAGACCTAAAAATCTACAAATCAGAAAGACCCAAAGTCTAAAGACTGATAAAACTGTTGACAAGGATGTGGGAAAAAGCCAGTACTCTCATTGGTGGTGGGAATATAAACTGGCATAACCTCTGTGGAGAACAATTTGGCAAAATCTACCAAACTTACAATTATATATATCCTTCGACCCAGCAATTCTACAGGTATACTGGCACATCCATAAAAAGGCTCTTTATTGTGGCACTGTTTGTAACAGCAAAATAGAAGAAACCAAAATGGCCAACAAGTTGGGAGTACTTAGAAATTTTAATACATTCACCTAATGAAATACTAAGCTTTGTTAAACAACACAAAACAAAGACATACTTTATATACTGATATGGAAAGATCTCCAAGATTTGTTCAGTGAATAAAGCAAGATGCTCCTCCATTTCAAGCAATACGCCAGGTTTGATATCCTGGACATCACATCCACCACAAACACTAAAAATATTGAGGGTGGAAAGGCATCTTTTTATTTTATTTTTTATTTTTTGAGACAGAGTCTTGCTCTGTCACCCGGGCTAGAGTGCAATGGTGTGATCTCGACTCACTGCAGCCTCTACCTTCTGGGTTCAAGCGATTCTCCTGCCTCAGTCTCCTGAGTAGCTGGGATTACAGGTGCCCATCACCACGCCTGGCTAATTCTTTGTATTTTTAGTAGAGATGGAGTTTCACCATGTTGGCCAGGCTGGTCTCGAACTCTCGACCTCAGATGATCCACCCACCTTGGCCTCCCAAAGTGCTGGGATTACAGACATGAGCCACCACACCCAGCCAAAAGGCATGTTTTTAAATGCTGTTATGCATTGAATTGCACACCTGAAAAAGACATGAATTCCTAACCCCCAGCACCCATGAATATGATCTTATCTGAAAACCAGGTCTCTTTGTAGATGTAATCAAATTAAGATGAGGTCATTAGAATGGTCCTTAATTCAATATGACTATTGTCCTTCATAAGAACAGAAGAGACACAGGCAGAGACACACACAGAACACCATGTGATGACAGAGGCAGAGGTTGCAGTGATGAGTCTATAGCTAAGGAATACCAAAGACTGCTGGAACCACCTGAAGCTAAGAGAAATGCATGGAATAGATTCAACCCTAGAGTCTTCAGAGAGCATGGCCCCGCTGACCCCTTGATTTAGGATTTATGGCCTCCAGAACTGTGAGATAATAAATTCCTATTGTTTTAAGCCACTCAGCTTGTGGTAATTTGTTGTGGCAGCCCTAGAAAACTAACACCAATGCAGACTGAGCTGTGCAGAAACTAAGGGAAATCCCCAAAGGGCCAACAACAAACCAAGAACAGATATTCCGTGCTCTGAAGGCAGCTGCTGCCCATGGAGCATCCTGCTGTCTCTTACTTTGCACTTCAGATTGACTGATTGATTGATTTTTTTGGAGACGGAGTCTCACTCGGTCATCCAGGTTGGAGTGCAGTGGCATGATCTCAGCTCACTGCAACCTCTGCCTCCTGGGTTCAAGCGATTCTCTCGCCTCAGCCTCCCAAGTAGCTGGGACTACAGGCATGTGCCACCATGCCTGGCTAATTTTTTTGCATTTTTAGTAGAGACGAGGTTTCACCATGTTGCCCAAGCTGGTCTGGAACTCCTGAGCTCAGGCAATCAGCCCGCCCTGGCCTCCCAAAGTGCTAGGATTACAGGCATAAGCCACCGTGCCCGGCCTTTTTTTTTTTTTTTTTTTTTTTTTTGAGACAGTCTCACTCCATCACCCAAGCTGGAGTGCAGTGGCGAGATCTCAGCTCACTGCAACCTCCGCCTCCCAGGTTCAAGTGATTTTTCTGCCTCAGCCTCCCAAGTAGCTGGGACTACAGGCCATGCCACCATGCCTAGCTAATTTTTTTGTATTTTTAGTAGAGACAGGGTTTCACATTGCCCAGGCTGGTCTCGAGCTCCTGAGCTCAGGCAATCTGCCTGCCTCAGCCCCTCAAAGTGCTAGGATTATAGGTGTGAGCCACCACGTCCGGCCTACACTTCAGTTTTAACAGCTATTCAGGACATAAAGTCTAGGACCAACAAAGGTGAGGAGTCAGATTTTTTTAAATTACATGTTATAAATTTATACATAAACCAGCTCATAATAAAAATGGAAAAAAGTACAAAACAGGATGTGTAAATATCATTTCATTTAAAATATTTACAAGAGGGCCACGCACGGTGGCTTACACCTGTAATCCCAGCACTTTGGGAGGCCAAGGTGGGTGGATCACTTGAGACTTGAAGTCTAAGACCAGCCTGAGCAACATGGTGAAACCCCGTCTCTACAAAAACAACAACAACAACAACAACAAAAGCCAGCCATGGTGGCGTGCATCTGTAGTCCTAGCTATTCAGGAGGCTGAGGTGGGAGAATCACCTGAGCCCCAGAGGTTGAGGCTGCAGTGAGCCGAGATCACATCATTGCACTCCAGCCTGGGCATCGGAATGAGACCCTGTCTCAATCAATCAAAAGTTTATGAGAGCAATGCTATTTGCTTTTATGAATGGACCATCTCTAGAAGGAGAGGCAAGCCATGGTAACTCTGGTTGGCCAGAAGACAGTTGGACAGGGATGGAGGGGACAGGGATAGCTAGACAGGAACTGATGGGAAATTTCTCACTATATTATCTTGTTTTAAATTCAAAAGATAAAACAGAATTGTGTTACCTATTCAAAGATAAACAAATTTAAGTTAAAAATATTTAAGAATTTAAGAGAAAAATAGAAGAAACTATATAGATGGGTGAAAACCAATAGACACTGCTCCCACCAAGTCTAACCTCCTCAAACAAACCTTGCTGGAAATGTATATCTCTGTAACTTACCAGCTCCAGCTTCATAATGTGCACACAATCCCTCAGGATGTGTGTAGGAGCTCCTAATAGCTTGGTGAAGGCTATTAACGTATTAGCTTTAAATGGTGGTCCTGCAACCTACAGGGATAAATAAAGCAAGTTATTCTTCATTCTACATTAATGCTTATGTTTCATTAATTATATTCAAATTATGCATTATTAAACACATACTCTTGTTTCAAAGAATTTCTCTAAAACTTGAAGTTCATCAGGTTTCCACTGTCCTGCATTTTCAGGTGTCACTTTTAGCTGAAGCGTTTGGTTGGTTTTGGGACTAAGGGCAACTCTGCATTTCAGTGCATCAGTCTTAAACATGATCACTCCAGGTTCATTGGAATTTATCAGCTGCAGCTGCAAAATAAGGACACATCAAATTAACATGTAAATCAAAGAGAAAATGAAGATGTTACTGAGAGAACTGTTCCAAAAGCAAAACCACTAAATTGATACCTATTCCAAAACAAAGGCACCTACAGCATTCAGCATCAACTGCTGTCAACATTGCAAAAAGAAATGCAATCAGACATTATGTGCCTTTTGATGGAAGAACATAATTCTACCTATGAAGTATTCTTGCAAAACAACATCAAAAAACTTGAGCCTGAATACATTCAGTAGCTTGATCCAGAGGACTGACCAATGTGATAGAAAACATAGGGATCAAAAAAATATTCAATGATTCCAAATTGTATAAGGATGAAGAAGGAGAACTAGAGGGGGGAACCAAAACTTTGAACGGGACTTAGAAAAACTTATTTGAGTTCTGATTCAAAGTGTAAAAAATGAGACAACCTGGGAAATCTGGATATTAACTAGATATGTGGTGATAAAGAAATTTTTTTTTTAGGTAGAGAATGGTGCACTTTTTTTTAAGAGTCCATACCCTTTAGAGACACATGCAAAAATTTTTATGGAAGAAATTATGTCTGAGATTTGCTGTGAAAATCTGAGGGGAGGAGTTCTAGATGAAACAAACTGATATTAGTTAACTGTTGGAGGTGGGTGATGAGAGTACAGAAGTTCATTATACTATTCTACTTCTGTATATGCTGAACATTTTCCACTATATATATATATATTTTTTAAGTGGCACATTAGAAAAAAAGAATACAGAGTACAATTACAAAAGGTTAGATCTGGATTAGGCTCTTATTTTAGCCCAAGGGTTGACAAACTTTTTCTGTAAAGTGTTATATAGAAAAAGTTGCAGGTTTTATGCACTATATGTTCTCTGTCACAACTATTCAATGTTGTCATCACAGCTGAAAGCAGCTATAGACAATACATAAATGAACAGGTGTGGCTGTGTTCCAATAAAACTTTATTTACAAAAACAGGTGGTGAGAAGGACATAGCAACCAGGGGCCATAGTTTACTGACCCCTGTTTTGGCAGAGTATGTTGATTATGTAGCTGAGCAAAATGAGGTCAAAGAGCTGAAAGCTTACATAGATAGTAAGTGGCATAGCTGAGGCTAGATCCCAAGTCTGATGATAACCATTTTGAGTGCTAATTTTAGTTTATTTTATTTTTCTCTTTTTTCTTTTGAATGCTAATTTATTCAAAAGCGTTTCCATACCAAATCTTAGTATGAAAGTTGCAAAATGGCTTCACACTATTCACTGGAGTGAATATTTTAAACATTCATCATTTTTAATTTTTTTTTATTTTTTGAGATGGAGTCTTGCTCTGTTGCCCAGGCTGGAGTGCAGTGTCACGATCTCGGTTCACTGCAACCTCTGCCTCCCAGGTTCAAGCGATTCTCCTGCCTCAGTCTCCCAAGTAGCTGGAATTACAGGCATGTGCCACCACACCCAGATAATTTTTGTTTTTGTTTGTTTGTTTTGAGAGAGAGTCTCTCTCTATCTGCTCAGGTTGGAGTGCAGTGGCACGATCTCAGCTCACTGCAACCTCTGCCTCCCAGGTTCAAATGATTCTCATGACTCAGCCACCCAAGCAGCTGGGATTACAGGCGTGTGCCACCACACCCGGCTAATTTTTGTATTTCTAGTAGAGATGGGGTTTCACCATGTTGGCCAGGCTGGTCTCGAACTCCTGGGCTCAAGTAATCCACCTGCCTTGGCCTCCCAAAGTGCTGGGATTACAGGCATGAGTCACCGTGCCTGGTCTTGTATTTTCAGTAGAGGTGGGGTGTCGCCATGTTGGCCAGGCTGGTCTCAAACTCCTGACCTCAAGTGATCTGCTTGCCTCGGTCTCCCAAAGTGCTGGGATTACAGGCATGAGCCACGGTGCCCAGCCTAAACATTCACCATTTTGACTACCTCATTAATACATGCATCTACCAATAATAACAGTAATTATAAATAATGAAAATGCCAAGACATTATATTAAGGGCTTTACATGAAATATCTCAAATTCCCACAACTGTTATCAGTTAGGTAAATACTATTATCTGAAGTAATTTGCCCAAACACACATTAGCAGGTAGTATGGCTGGCTACAAACCCAGGCAGCCTGACTCTAGAACTGGTGCTCTCAATTATAAATTATCTCCTAAGGCTTTATCACCATAGAATAAGTTAGAAGTCTTTTTTCTACAAGAGTTTTTAAAAACTCAATTGTTTATTTATTTATTTATTTATTTATGAGACAGAGTCTCGCTCTATTGCCCAGGCTGGAGTGCACTGGCGCGATCTCGGCTCACTGCAACCTCCGCCTCCCGGGTTCAAGCAATTCTGCCTCAGCCTCCCATATAGCTGGGATTACAGGTGCACACCACCATGCTTGGCTAATTTTTGTATTTTTTAGAAGAGACGGGGTTTCATCATGTTGCCCAGGCTGGTCTTGAACTCCTGACCTCAAGAGATCTGCCCACCCCAGCCTCTCAAAGTGCTGGGATTACAGGCATGAGCCACTGTGCCTGTCCTGTTCATATATCTTAAAAGAAGCTTTTGTCCTTGTAACCATAAATAATTTTCTTTAAATTTTTTTTCTATTTTTATTTTTTTAGAGACAGGGTCTTACTTGATCACCCAGGATAGAGTACAGCAGCATGATCACAGTTCAGTGTAACCTGGAACTCCTGGTCTCAAGCAATCCTCCTGCCTATACCTCCCAAGTAGCTAGGACTACAGGTGCATGCCTGATAATTTTTTTAATTTTTTGTAGAGAGAGGGTCTTGCTATATTGCCTAGGGTGGTCTGGAACTCTTGGGCTCAGTGATCCTCCTGCCTCAGCATTCCAAAGTGCTGGGATTATAGGTCTAAGCCACCACATCCAGCCAATTATTTTATTTCCATAAAGACTCAGATTCAAAATCAGTCTGCCTGCACGGGCACTCCAGAAGGCAAATAATTACTGGTATGCTATTCTCTGCAAGGCCAGATCCTGTGCGCACTGGTCCTGTGTGCTGCAGAGACCTATCTCCAGGTTCAGTTTGCCACATAACATAGAAGCCACAGCACAGCAAACTGTATAATGCAGAACTATGTTAACGTAAGAATGGAAAAGAAAATAATGGAGTCCATTTTTAATGCCAGTTTAGGGTGAAAAGCATAATTCTAACGAGCTTGTTAAAGGAGGGAAGGTGAAGGAATGTCACGTTAGTTCAGATCCTATCCTGCAGGACAACTGAGCATTTTACCCTTAACAATCACCACTTAGAAGGTCACTAGGTACCCATACCGTTTCTTGTTGAATAATTCTTTGAAGATGTCGTCTCATGATGACTGATCCAAGGAATCTCTCAAGTGGAGAACAAAGGTAACTACCTGCCAGACCAGGCACAAGGCCTGGCGTTGGAGAGGGCAGCAGTAAAATGTTCAAGGCACTGTGAGTGAGGATGGTAGGTATGGATGCCGCCCAAGAGCGCTGAGGTAGTTTACGAGGTGGAGGCATGTTTGTTGGCATTGTTTGAGAACCTTTTGGGAAGGAAAACATGTTATGTCATTTACAAATACATACTATCTCACTGCTTCCTGTTTTGCCTTCATCACAAATCTTTGATGTTCTAAATCATTCTGTACTGTTGCAGTTACTCCTTGTGGTGTAACAATCGTATATTAACAACCTGTTAGCAAAAATGGCCACTATTTTTCTCCTTCTTGTATCCAGGCCCCTTGCAATATGACTTTGCAGCAACTCCTTTAAGGGGTGAACTCCCTTTCTCCACCTGAAACCTGGCTGGCCTAGTGACTTGCTTCTGACCAACAGAATGTGGTGGAAGTGACACTGGGCTAGTTGTAGGCCTCAGCTTCTACTCCCTGCCTTAAAATCCTGTTGAGCCACCATGTGAACAAGCCTCAGATCAAGTGCGAAACCACCCAAAGCAGGGCGAAACCTTGCCATCTGAGGCCATCTTAGATCAGCTAGTCCCAAACAAACCCAGCAGCTGACTACAGACACATAAGTGAGCTGCCCAGCAGAGCCTGAAAGAATCACTCAGCTGTGCTCAGCCTAAACTGCCAACCTGCAGAATTGTGAACCAATATATAACAATCATATATTGTTTTAAGCCACTAAATGTTATGTAACAAAAGCTAACCAATAAATGTATATAATTCTCTTCTGTGTTAATATGTGTGATATTGTGAAATATATATTTGGTCTTCGTCCTAGCTCCTAGCATACAAATCCTAAAATTTTTGGAATCTTCAAAGTGGTTAAGTGTCCTTTTGTATGCTAATGAGATGGCTGATGGCTGGCAGCCCCTGGGTAGCTTCAGGAAGGGGGCTGATCATAGGAAAGACAAGGCACGATTAGAAGGTTGGTAGTTTCAGCCCCATCCCCAAAGTTGATCACCAGTGGCCATTGATTTAATCAATAATGCCTACGTGATGAAACTTCCATAAAAACCCAAAAGGAGAGAGTTTGGAGAACTTCCAGATAGCCAAACATGTGGAGGCTCACAGAGGACATGGAAACTCCACTCCCCTTATGCATCTCTTCATCAGGATCCTATGTAATATCCTTTAAGTATCCTCTCTCAAAAAGTAGATCATGACTTTCAAATGTGAGGATGCAACAAAATACGTCACTTTGAGTTATACTAAAAAAGAACATAAAAATGTTGATGATACTCACTTGTTCCAGCTCGAGGGGAATGAGAAGCATCTGGAACCGGAGAATGTAGTGAGGGGTTGGCTGGTGACATTCCAGGCATGCGTGCTGCTGGTGAGGGGCCGGACACTTGAGGAGATCCTGGCCAGTTCCCTGCTCGTCCACTTGGTGACACCATAGTGTATGGGGAACTAGGGTCAAGAGTTCCTATAAAAAAGGTAAACAAATGATTCTCAAAACCTATATTTTAATAACTGAAAATTACTTGACAGCATTCAAATCTTTACATAGTAATAATTTTATTTTTTCTTCCAATAAGATGTTTCACTGAAGCTTGATGTGTGTTAACATGTCATGACTGAATCTCTATTTTGTGTAAGGTACTTTTTAACATGATACAAAAATTAGAAAAATATAAAGATAGAGAGAGGATAAAATTTACCTTCACACAAGCTTCAATGTATGTAATATGAAACAATGTATGCTACTATATGCATGAAAATATTAAGCAAACAATCTCAGAGTTCCTTTAAAGGCAGAAATATATTTTTAAACCAACTTCCACAAATGAGGAGAAGGAAATTTTCCATATTCTTTATTTAGGCTACGTTGACTAAGAAATGAACCAAGACTCAAGTTTTGAAAGCAGTGACTTCCTGAACAATCTGATATTTAAATTTCATCCTCCATTGGTATCCACGAAAATATTCAAAAATAAAAAACAAATAAATAAATTTCATCCTCCAGATACCTTCAACATATTTTTTATATCCCTCTGTAACCAAATGACAAACTGAAAAAATACTTTTACTATGTATATGTCAGAGACTAAATGGTCTTTACTTAAGTCTTACAAATGGGTAAGAAAAAACACAAGAACATAGGTAAAGCATATATAACTGGGAGGTATAAAATAAGAAACACCAAAGACCGGCCAGGCATGGTGGCTCACACTTGTAATCCCAGCACTTTGGAAGGCTGAGGTGGGTGGATTGCTTGAGTCCAGGAGTTTGAGACCAGCCTGGGCAACACGGCAAAACCCCATCTCTACAAAAAAAAAAAAAAACACACAAAAACTAGCCAGGCGTGGTGGTGCACATCTGTAGTCCAAGCTACTTTGCTGGGGAGGGGATTGAGGCAGGAGGATCACTTGAACTTGAGAAGCCGAGGTTGCAGTGTGCTGAGATTGCACCACTGCAGTCCAGCCTGAGTAACAGAGAGAGACTCTGTCTCAAAAAAAAAAAAAAAAAAAAAAAAAGGAAAAAAAGAAACACATTAAACAATAAGATACCATTTTTCACCTATCAAAATGGCCAAGGTCGGCCGGGCGCGGTGGCTCACGCCTGTAATCCCAGCACTTTGGGAGGCCGAGGCGGGCGGATCACAAAGGTCAGGAGATCGAGATCATGGTGAAACCCCGTCTCTACTAAAAATAGAAAAAATTAGCCGGGCGCAGTGGCGGGCGCCTGTAGTCCCAGCTACTCGGGAGGCTGAGGCAGGAGAATGGCGTGAACCCGGGAGGCGGAGCTTGCAGTGAGCCGAGATTGCGCCACTGCACTCCAGCCTGGGCGACAGAGCGAGACTCCGTCTCAAAACAAAACAAAAAAACAAACAAACAAAAAAAAAAACAAAATGGCCAAGGTCTTTAAAATATGTAATACTCCCTGCTGGCAATGATGCAGGATAACAGACATTCTTGTATGATGGTATGGGAAACTGGTACAGCCTTTCAGATGAGCAGTTAGCAATATGTTTCGAAAGCTTCAGAATTTCTCAAAACCCTTGATACAACAATTCCATTTTTGGAACTTAAGGAAACAATCATGGATATGAGCACAGATGGCACCATTTTTAATTGTGAAAAAAATGGCAACATTCTAAACATATAACAATAGGAGAGCAGTTAAGTCATGGTACACCCTGACAAGGGGATATTACTACGCCATATGGTATGATGATGTGACAGAAATGTTCCCACAAATATTAATAGTAAAAACTAAAATCCCAGGTTCTATACAACTTAAAAACTGAGGAACCTGTTTATGTTCTATGGTATCATACTCATGATATATTAAGTGAAAAAAGGCACTGAACACTGTAAAGTATGCTGTCGTGTGTGTAAAGGAGAGGGGAAAGAACACTTGCATGTATTTGCTTGTGTATGCATGAAACAGCTCTGCAAGAATATCTACATGTTTCTGGGAAGAGGAACTGGTGGTTGGTGGAATAAAAAGGAAACATTTCACTGACTCCTGGTTCTGGTTCTAATTTTTATCTAGTTGAATCAATTCAAAATAAAATTTTTTAGTTAAAAAGTTAAAAAATTCCAGTCTCAAAACAATTCGTATGTTAGGGTACCCACTGTAGGGGGGCAAGGGCAGGTATTTGAAGGGGGAGACAAGCAGCTGGGTAGAGAGCAAGCGAGAATAACAGAAACGTGAGAGGGCAGGCAAGCAGGGCATGTGACAGGAAGGGCAAGGCAGAGCAACAGCAAGGGAAAGTCCAAGGCAGAGACCAACTCACTGGTCATTACCTCTGTGTGGTGGAATTAGATAAATTTGATTCTTTTTGCTTGAGCAATATTTTTGCTACTTCCTCAATAAACAAGTATTAATTTTGCAATGAAAAAATTTACTCAACAAAAATTATTTTCACATCAAGCTCTTATGCTGTATCGATTTCCATGTATGGACTCACCATGTGGACTAGCAAAACTGGCCCCTGGTCCTATTGAGATTCCATGCGAGGATGGGGGAGGAGTTGGAACAAATGACGCTGGTGATGGGGCTCTCAAAGCCCCACTTGGGGAGCTGGCAGCGTGCAGATTTCCTAATAAAGGAAAATAATTATAGATAATCTTGCAGGACACATTTTATGTCCTGTCCAAGGACCCCAAGTTAAAAATCTCTCTACAAACTAAAGAAACGAGTAGTATAGCTCCCATATATATAACACAGAGAAAAACTGGCAAGATTTCATTATCGAAAGAGAGTGTTCAATTCCATGGGCCCAAATTCTAGCTCTTATATTGACTGATTAAAAATCCGGTGTACTTTTTATTCAGTTATTCATTCAACAAGAAGGCCTGAATGCCGACTTCATGCCAAGCACTGTTTTAGGCATTGGGGATGCAGCAGTTAACGAAAGAGATAAAAATCCCTGCCCTAACAAAGCTTATATTCTAATAGAATGAGAAAGACAAGTATCTGTCCGGTAAGTGCTATGGAAAAAAATACAACAGGGTAAGGGGACAATATCGTGTAGTGAAGGAGGTGGGTATTGTTCCTTATATATAGCAATCAGAAAAGACCTCTCTAAGGAAAGGGGCATGTGAGCTGACAGGTGAAGAAAGGATTAGGCATGAGGATACCCAGGGGATGAGATATTCCAGCCAAACAGAGAGCTAGTGCAAATGCCCCAAAGGTGGAAGCAGTTATAAATAACAGGGAGGAAGCCAGTGTGGCAAGAACAGAGTGAACGAGGTGGGCAGTGGGAAGAGAGGACACCAGAGAGGCTGGAGGAAGAGGGGTGGGTCCCAGATCACATGGGGACTTGTGGGCCACTCTAAGGACTTAGGGTTTACCCTGAATGAGTGGGAATCCAATGCAGAGTTTGGAGCGGAAATCATGGACGAACTTCTGTCCCAGAAGGATCACTCTAGCTGCTGTGGGACAGACTATAGAGCAAGGGTAGGGGTAGGGACAGGAAAACCAGTTAGAAATGACTGCAATAATTCAGGTGAGAGAGGACTAGTGGCTTGGGTAAAGGTAACAGACTATGGTAGTGAAAAGTGGTTGGATTCTGGGTAAATTCTGAAAATCAAGCTGACAATATTTGGTAAATGACTGAACATGGGTATGAAAGAGACGTCCAGCATGACTCGAAGAGCTTCAGCCCAAGTAGCAGGAAGGGCGGGCCTGCCATTTACTGAGCTGGGGTGTCTGTGGGAAGAGGAACACTGGGGCAGTGAAGAGATCCGGAGTTTAGTTTCAGCCATGCTGAGTTTCAGGTATCTACCAGACGTTACATGGAAATTATGCCGAATAGGCAGTTAGAAAATACAATACAAGGCCGGGTGTGGTGGCTCACGCCTGTAATCCCAGCACTTTGGGAGGGCGAAGCGGGCAGATCACCTGAGGTCAGGAGTTTGAGACCATCCTGGTCAACATGGCGAAACCCCGTCTCTACTAAAAATACAATCATTAGCCAGGCACAGCGGCGCGTGCCTGTAATCCCAGCTACTCAGGAGGGTGAGGCGGGAGAATTACTCGAACCCAGAAGGCGGAGGTTGCAGCAAGATGAGATTGCTCCATTGTACTCTAGCCTGGATGACAGAGCAAGACTCTGTCTCCAAAAAAAAAAAAGAAAGAAAAAAGAAAATACAATACTAGACTTACGGAGAGACTGAGATTGGAGATATAAAAAACAAACAAACGTTAACTTATTTAAAGCCACAGGACTAGTTTTAATTTAGGATTATGAAAGGGTGAACTATGGCTACCAAAACTATGAATAAATGCAACATTTAAACACTTGCTACATTATCATAATTACCTTTAATATCAGCATGTTTCAAATTCTCTACTATAGCAGTCCCCGCCTTATCCACAGGGGATATGTTCCAAGACCCCCAGTGGATGCCTGAAACCTCAGATAGTATTGAAACCTGTTTTTATCCTACACACATATATGATAAAGTTTAATTAACAAATTAAGTACAGTAAAAAATTAACAACAGTAAAATAGAACACTCTTAGCAGTATATTATCATAGAAGTTATGTGAATATGGTACCTCTCTGTCTCTAAATATCTTATTGTACTATACTTGCCCATTTTTGGTCCTCAGTTGATCTCAGGCAACTAAAACCTCGGAGAGCGATAAGGCAGGGGGAACTGTACTATGTGAGATAATTTCATATTTTTGTGTTCTCTAATACCTAAAGCACTGCCTTACTTTCAGTCAGTATGTTGATCAACTTGACCAACCTTTAAGTGTTTACATTTACTTATTTAGCTGTATGATCTGGACAAGCGACCTAACTTCTCCATGTCTCAGTTTTCCTCCATAAAACGGCAATAATAATAGGACCTACACCACAGGTTTGCTGTGAGGATTAAATGGGTAAAGTGCTTAGACTAGGGCTTGGCACACAGTAAGCACTATATATGCTTGTCTACTACTATAATTATTTCAAAATATTTTTCCCTTCCTACTGTATAAAAACAATGTCAACTCCTATCCTAGAAACACACTCCCCTGGGGTTCTACAATCCTGTTTCTCCTGTTTTGCCTACTTCCTCCCTAGCTGCTACTTCCCTACTGACCACTGGTATTCCTAGGGGTGGACTCAACTACCCACTTGGGCTTCAATGACCCTAGACATGACAACAACAACTTCCAAGTCTTCATCTATGGCTCAACCATCTCTGATGAACCATAGGCTCATACAGCCAACTGCCTACTGGACATCTTGACTTAGGACTCTCTGGGGACTTGCAAAATCAACAGGTTCAAGAGAACGCCCTGCTCCTTTCTCTGTGAAATCTGCCCATCCACCACTCTAGTCACTTTCAGTTGTATAAATTTAACCCAGACTAAAATCCAACAATGGCTTCCTATTTACCCATACAATAAAGGCCAAAATTTTGAACAGAGTCCTGTCTCTCCACACACCAGCCATTTGGAAGAGTCTACCATCTTCTGGGAGTTCAGACTCCACACACCCTGCACAGTCTGCCTGAGATATCTTCCTTGTCCATGTCCCTGCACCTGGGTAACTCTGACCCACCCTTCACGTCTCGGCTTAACTAGTGTTGAAAGGAGGGAGGCAAACAAGGCATCCCCAAGAAACAAACAATTGAACCCCTCCTTATCGAACGCTCTTTCAGAAGCCCAAGTGACCCTTTTTGTAACACTCATCATACTTGGCATTACAGATGAAGACTGTTTATCTAGGAATCTAAGCAGAGGAAGCACACCCCACCCCCCAAATAAAAGTGAATTTAAAGATTTAAAAAATGAGGATCTATTTTTTTAAAACGACACCACTGAAGTAATGTGAAGAGCAATATGAGTGGCTACGTGTGAGACATGGTGGGGGTGGGATCTGCCAGGGTGCGAGTGCCTAGGCAGTGCGGGATGTCGAGCAGCCCAATCTGGGCAACAAGACAGATTACAATGGACTGGTCAAAGAGGCATTTGTCATGTACCACGCCCCAGGCTAAACACTTTATGTGAACTATTGCATTCAATTCTTACAACATCCCTATGGAAAAGGTTTTATATTATTCTCATTTTACAAATGGAATTAGCTATTGAATAAGTTATATCATTACATCTCCCACCTGCAGATTAACGGATTTTCTGGTCAATACAAATTTCTCATATACAGACACACATATACATATCTATAAGAATTTTTGTATTTTATAAAGGAGAAAAGCATGCACTGCAAATTCTGCTTTTCAAAGTGAAAACTTAAAAGCAGATGTATTTGTTGGGTTTGTTACTTAAAAATCAGGATTTAATGTAGTTGTTTGTCCTGTTTTCTGATAAGCCCGAATGCCTTCAATTGGTACTAAACTACTTAATGTATTCTTTAGTTGAGTGGACTGATATATTTACAGTAGATAAAAGGTTTTATTATGCATGCTTTTAAAAGTCATTTAATTTCTTATATTTTACATCCTATATTACATATCACATCTTTTATGCTAAAACTTTCTTTGAAAAAAACCATCATTATGCTCTGGACATATTACCAGGACCTAGTAGGCAAGGGGTCATTCTCCCCAATAAATCTGATGACCTAGCTTCCTTGCTAGATGATAAGCTCAAGAGCAGGGCTGATATCTGGTTCACTGCTAAATCCCCAGCACCAGGCAGCATTTGGCACTGAGCAAGTACTCAAGAGATACCACTGAATCATTCAGTTAAAAGCAAAAATTTGGCATTCTCAAGCACTTTTACAGCGCACTTCATAGGGCTGCCAACAAAGCCATTATGTCTGGACAAACAGACTGTGCACTGCCTGACTCGGAGCTTGGGGGCAGGCCACCCTTCCACCTATTCCATGGCTTAGCAAACTTTTTCTGTAAAGGGCTGTCATAGTGGGAAAGCAGCCATAGACATTACATAAACAAGTGTGGCTTCATTCCAATGAAACTTTATTTACAAAAACAGATGACAGGCAGGATTTGGCTCTATAGGCCTTAGAGTCTGTCGATCTGTAATATAGATCATGTTGTGATTAGCACCCCCTGGAGTTGTGCTGTGAGTCTGGCTCTGGGTGACATTAATTTAAACCTTTTAAAGTGCTCCTGAGCCTGGACACAGACTTCACAAACCTTCCATAATAAATGAGTGACAACTATCTAGCCATAGACTAGAAAGGGAATTCTCTCTGAAGCCTGAGGCTAGATGCACAGTGCTTCTCAATGTGGGGGGGGGGGGGAGGGGGTGTGTGTGTGTATTTTGGATTTGAAAGTTGAACGTGACAAGAAAGTAAGTGATATCTTACCTGGAGACTGTGTGTGCATCATAGAGGGAGACTGATTGACTGTGCTATGATAAGATGTAGGGGGTGAAGTAAGAGGATAAGCACCTGATGTTCCTGGCTGCTTTGGAAATGGCTGAAAAGAAGAAAATTAAATGTTGGTAAAATGGCCAACTGCGTGCAGCATAAGAGTGTGGCTTTCACTAATTATAGCTACAGTGTTAATATTTACACACTTTGTTGGTTACCAAATAGGAAACATGAGGTATAAAAGCGTGCAAAATAAATACACATCAACAACACAAGTCTTTATAAACCCTGACTTTCGAAATGTTTTAAAATAGCAACATCCTCTTTCCCGATCTTGCAATGCTTTCTATCCCTCAAGATGTTTTTTGCTCATTTTATATCTAGCATATAACTGATTTATCTCTATTATTTATCTACCATTTCATTGATTCTAAGACATTTTCCCCCCACACTTTAACATCTCTAAAATCAGGGTGTCTCTTTCCATTTATGGGATGTTGGTTTAACTGGCAGTGCTTTTTCTTTCTGAGCAGTAGATAAAAACTGATGCATCTCACATTTGGTGGCGTTTAGTATCAATGAAATATGGTAGCTCAGCCTGACCTTTACTCACCTTTATCACTTTCACAAGGTAGTTGTAACATTTTACATATTTTCTAGTGCCACACGAGAGTTTCAGTTGTTCCTAACATCAAATGTTGGAAATAATTATCAATTTTTTTCTTGAAGTCATTTTTGTGGGTGTGGAGTATTACCTCATTGTAGCTTTAATTTGTATTTCTGTGATGGCAAATAATGTTTGAATACCTTTTCTGCGCTTATTGGCCACTTGGACATCCTATTATGTGAAATGACTTGAATCTTTTACCGATTTTTAAAACCAGATTGTCTACTTTTTTTTTTTTTATTGATTCTTTCTATCTTAAAGAAATTATAGAATTCAGGCTAACTCATAAGCTACAAAATCATGTATTTGCCCATACTGTTTTATCCAATAATGTAGAATGTACCTTTATGTTTGGAAATGTAAGCCATACTAACTTGTTAATTAAAACTATGATATTCATAAACTTTTATATTTTCTTCCTTTCCTTTCTCATGGACTAGCTTATACACTAAAACAGCATTTTACATAAAAGAAGAAAAGCTACCTGCTAACATCAAGTAAAATGTACATGAATCCCTTTATGAACATTTTTTTCTCACAACTGTCTTATCAGGGAGATGAACAGTTTACAAATAGAAGCATTGCACAGATATCTGATAAGCAGAAAAAACTGAAAACTGAAACTGCTCAATAAAAGGCTCAATCTTTAGGAGTATAAAGACATTTAACCATGGCAGATGAATATTCTTTTAAAAGGATTCTGACTTGGTATTAAGTGTCAAACTTTTTAACTTAAAAACAAAACAAACAAAAAGGCTCTACCTACAGGTTGAATTCAGAGCAAGAAAAAGCAGAAAATTCCTCAAGTTTTCCCAAAGTGACAAATCATTCTAACTTTTCTAGAATATCCTAACCTTTGGCCAATCTACCCACATCTAATCCTTCTGCCTTAGCTTGCAACTATTTTCCTAGTTAGAAATCTCACGTTCAGTATGAAATGCTACTGGGTGTATACAGCTCTTAGCCAAATCAGAGTATCTAATAAACTAGCGCTGCAGGCTCTCACTGTGTCAAATTATGATTTTTTTCAGTAACAACAGCACTTTGGGAGGCCAAGGCAGGCAGATCACCTGAGGTCGAGAGTTTGAGACCAGACTGACCAACATGGAGAAACCCCCTCTCTACTAAAAATACAATATCAGCTGGGTATGGTGGTGCGTGCCTGTAGTGCCAGCTACCCGGGAGGCTGAGGCAGGAGAATCACTTGAACCTGGGAGGTGGAGGTTGCGGTGAGCTGAGATCACACCACTGCACTCCAGCCTGGGCAACAAGAACAAAACTTCATCTCAAAAAAAAAAAAAAAAAATCATTATAGAGGAGCCAATGAACAACTTATCTTGGGAGACAGAGAGAATAATGGACCACATTCTCCCTCCATTCCCCCTATAACATTGGCCCTGCTACGGCCATGGTCATGAGACAGCCCATCTCAGTTACTTCTTTCCCCCAAAGGATGTGGCTCATTCCCTGCTCCATATCAGGTACAGGAAAAATAAAAAATGCAAGAAAGTGGCTTCCACAAGAAAAAGGCTGCTCTGATATCCGCTGGGCCAAGGTACTTCTCTCCCATGGTGGCCCAGCATCCTCAGAGGGCTAGTATCTCATCTGAGTCAATGTCTGTCACAAGAGTGTGGCACCTTGGCTACAGAGACATTTGCATAGGCCTTTACTGAGCTTCCCTGTTCTACATGAAGGCCAAGAAGGGAAACAGCGAGAAGGCAAGTAACCCTAAATAGCTGCCAGGAACAACAGAGCTTCCAAAAAACCCTCCTTCTAGTAAGAATCTAGTATTTTTTCAAAGATTTAAGCACTGGAAAGTTGTAGTCACTAAGTAGCCAGACCAGAAGCTAAGCAATAAAATAAGCTAAGAGGATTCTCTGCACAATGCTGGTTTCAAGCAATGCTATTCATGAAAGCTTCTGGGTGAGAAGCAGTGAGCTATTTTGTAAACCAAAACTAAAGGATGTGCCAAAGAGCCTTGCCTAGAGGCTGTGTGCTCATATACAACTAAAAATGGAGCCCCTGAAGACTCCAGCCCAGAGTCTACAGCCTCAATGAGGACTTTTCAGACTAGGGAGTCACACAGGACTGTTGAAGGGCTAAATGATCACTGTTCACCTTCTATTTCAGGAGGGTCTGTGAGAAAACAATGGCTGGCCTAGGGGCCTGTTCAACTCTCAGACATGTGAAGGTGACAGGACAGAACTGAAAGCTCTTATGGTTCTATAATGTGGCTTATCCAAATGGTCTGAGGACAGAACCCTGAAAATTTGTCCACCTGTTCTCTGTAGCAGTCCCTACTGAACATCGCTAGACATTTAGTCCACTGTGCTCTACTTAGTAGCATCTGTCCTTCAAGACAAGGTGAGGAAACTCTCTCAAAGATCTCACATCCTGCGGATGATATTTCCATCCCTGGAATCATATAACATCATTTTAAGTGCGTGAATGATCTGAGATTAATGCTGTTTCCAACACTATTCATTTCTTGTCACTGGAAGTCTCCTCCTCACCTCCTTCTGTAACTCTTTATTTCGTAAGTATTTCCTGGGCATCTCGGGCCCACCAAGGACCTCCTTGTCTTTGATGCCTATAGAACCTGTGAAGTTACAGAAATGTGATACCACTTGGAATTTTGGCTAGATATTACCTGTTGCTGGGGTGGTGGCTGGAGCTGCGATATTAAAGAATCCATCATATCTCCTCCTATAGGAGAAGGGGGATTATCGTCCTCATTTACAGACCTTCTTCGAGCATCCTGATTGCTGTCAACAAACATATTCAGGAACGTCTACGGATATAAACAGGTAAAAATTAGATTATTTTACCTAACATTATTAGCAAAACATTTTAAATTATTTAGAATATTTAAACAGAAACATAGTATGTTGATCCTTGAAGATCATTACTAGGACAACCTAGAAGAAATATTGTTAATTTTGAAGCTGGAAACTGAGGAAAACAGTTAACAAAAACAGCATCTAAAAAAAGGTCATATCAACTAAGAAATATTGTGTGAGCAAAAAGTTGAAGAAAGAAGTACATCCTGGCACCTCTTACCATCAGATCATAATATTTTCTTATTAACTTCTAATCCAGAAATGGGGGTAAAAAATGAAAAGCATATTGGCCATAACTTGGAAAATTCCCCAGCTAGTGAGCGCTCTCACTTTTTAAACTAGAAAATATGAAAGGAAAACTGAGTAAGAAATGATCCAATTTTTTCCTTTTTTATATTACATGATTTAATCTTGAACCATTAAGAGTGGGACAGCCTTGTTTTTATATATTGTCAAAACTGAGCAAGGCTATCAGAGTTTATGTTTCAAGCACAGATTCTCTTTAACACTCCTTACATCCCCAGTATTCTATCATAAGCTTATCAGAATCACTAGAGAGCTATTAAAAGTCCAAAGTGGGCTGAGCCCAGTGGCTCATGCTTATAATCCCAGCACTTTGGGAGGCTGAGGTGGGAGGATCCCTTGCGAGACCAACCTGGGCAACAATGGCAAAACTCCATCTCTACAAAAAATACAAAAATCAGCCAGGCATGACAGTGCACACCTGTGGATCCAGCTACTAGGGAGGCTGAGATGGGAGGACTGCTTGAGCCTGGGAAGTTGAGGCTGCAGTGAGCCGTGATCCCACCACTGTGCTCCAGCCTGGGCAACAGAGTGAGACCCTGTCTCAAAAAAAAAAGTCGACAGTCTACTTTTAATTAAAGATGATGGGCTCACAACACACACTGCATTCTTTCCCCACTAAAACTACTGGAAAAAAATTTTTGAAGCAATAAGTAACAAAGACAAAAAGAATGGGAGAACAGAAAAAACAGCAATACATCCTGGAGGCTGCAAAGCAGATGGTTTAGTAGCAACTAGAACCATCCAATGTGAGAAAGCTGTATCCTAAGTAAGCTGTGGGGAAAGCCAAGCAGCAAACTATTTCCATCCAGATCCCCGAGACACTTTGGAACTGGCAGTATCAGGCACTGATATGGTTTGGCTCTGTGTCCCCACCCAAATCTCATCTTGAATTGTAATCGAATTATAATCCCCATGTGTTGAGAGAGGGACTGATTGATTGGATTATGGGGACAGTTCCCCCCATGCTGTTGTGATAGTGAGTTCTCATGAGATCTAATGGTTTTATAAGTAGAAGTTTCCCCTGCTCTTGCGCTTCCCCTTTACCTTCCACTACAATTGTACATTTCCTGAGGCCTCCTAGCCATTCTTTCTGTTAAGCTTGTGGAACTGTGAGTCAATTAAACCTCTTTCCTTTATAAATTACCCAGTCTTGGGTAGTATCTTTACGGCAGTGTGAAAACGGACTAATATGGGTACCTTTGGAAGTGGGGATAAAAGTGGGACTAATAACAGAAGGACTAAGTGAAAGTCTAAGAGACACTTAGACCCTCCAGATCCTCTGCTATTCTCACTGAGCTGGGTTGATCTCTTCCACCCTGGAGGAGGATCTCTGACTTGAGGGATGCCAAGATCAATTGAGAGAAGGACTACCATATAAAAAATGGGGATCAAAGTCTACATAAACTTGAGAATACTCGTTTTCTCATTTGACTTTCCCAATATTGAGAGCCAGATGCATACCATCTATGCAGAAGATTTGGATACTTCTGTCTTGGTACTCACACCAGTCCAACAAAAAGACCTAAAGCTACTGATATCAGGAGTTTCCCAAAGAAATGGCACAAGGAGATCATCCTGCAATGAAGACCACAGTCAATAAGTCTTACCTTTAAATAAGAGCAGGGAGTTAAGAATCGCTTAACATTTGAGTAAAGACACTAATATAAAAGAAATCAATACCACACCCCCACATACACAAAAGCAAGGTAAATAAAATAGAGATTATGTAGGATAAAAAGAAGAAAAAGTAATGTTGTCATATAATAGAATGTTTAAAATAAACATTTTGAAACAAAAAAAGACCTTTTGAAAAAAATTTTTAAAGAATGGCCAAAATAAAATATTGATAGAAATAAAAAATAGAGGGATAAGAGGAAAAAAGTGAGGTATCTCCCAGAAACAAGAGACAAAAAAAAAAAAAAAAAAAAAAAAACAGAAGAAATAGGAAAACTAGAGGACAAGTCCACAATGCCTAGCATCAGAACATTGGGAGTACCCAAACGAGCTAACAGAGAAAACAACGGAGATGAACAAAGAAATAGTGCAAGGAAATTTCCCAAAGCAAAAGGATGTAAGTTTTCAGACTGAAAGAGCCCAGTCAAGTCACATAATGTTCAACAGTGTGAACTCATTACACATCTCAATAGTCACAATGCAAGCTAGGAGACAATGAAGTAGTCTCTTCAAAATTTTTACAGAAAATGATTGCAACCTAGAGTTCTTTACCTAGCCACTTCAGTTAGATGAGGGTAAACTAAAGATGCTTTCAGGCATACATGATTTCAAATTAACTCTCCACCCACCATGTACCTTCTCCCAGTAATCAAAACAATGAAATAAACTAAGAAAAAAAACAAGGGGCCCACGACACAAGGCATGCAACATGCAACATAAAAGAGAAATAAAGGAATCTCCCCTTTCATCCTTTTGCAGATTCCTAAGTGAAAACTGTGTAGAAGGCCCAGACTGCTATCAGTTCAAATTGGAGCACGTCAGAGGCCTATTGAAGAGATTTCTTCAAGATTAAATCAATAAGGTATCTTGATATGTTTGAACATACTAAAAGGAGTTATATAAATAGAAGAGAGTTTAAGGTTAATTAGTGATAGGTACTACAGAGAAAGTGAAACCAAAAAAGACCCAATTAATATTCCCAATAAAATAAAATGTTGAGCAAGACAGGAAAAATAATCATAGTAAGCTTGGTTGCAGCAATGCTTACATATTCATAACAGTGCAAATGCTGAAAAATAATCTAATCAAAATTGCTACCTAACCATGTTACCAAGATAGGAGGAAAGACAAATGTGTTTATGTACTGAGAGCAGCCTGGAAGGAGGAAGGCACACATAAAAAAGAATTTAATAACAACTAAAGCCTGGGCAACATGACAAAATCCCATCTCTACAAAAAATACAAAAATTATCCGGGTGTGGTCCCTGCTACTGGGGAAGTTGAGGTGGAATGGTGGGAGGATGGATTTAGCCCTGGTGGTTGAGGCTGCAGTGAGCCATGATCATGCCACTGCACTCCAGCTTGGAGGACAGAACGAGATCCTGTCTCCAAAAAAAAAAAAAGAAAAGAAAAGAAAAACAGAAAAAAAAAAAAAAAAAAAAAGAATGCTCATCTTTCATTGTGAGAATCAGATAATGCCCTCAACCAAAAAGTAAACAAATAGCAATGTAGGCATTCTACTTAGAGATAAAGATATAAATATCAAGATAATCAGCTATATAAGAATTGAAAACAGGGCATCTGGGGAGCAAGAAAATGACAAGAGTGAATTGCAGGAGACTATTTTTCAAATCAAGCCTTTTAGATTTATTTGACTCCAGACAAAAAACACATACAACTGAGCTATCACATCAGTTAACCACTCTGGCAGTTGTAGTCCAGGACCTTACATTTTTAAAAAGCATCAGGCCAGGCACAGGTTACTGTGATCCTAGCACTTTGCGAGGGTCCAGGACCTTACATTTTTAAAATGCATCAGGCCAGGCACAGATTACATCACGCCTGTAATCCCAGCACTTTGGGAGGCTGAGGCAGGTGGATTACTTGAGGTCAGGAGTTCGAGACCAGCCTGGCCAACATAGTGAAATCCCATCCCTACTAAAAATACAAAAATTAGCCGGGTATGGTGGCACATGCCTATAATCTCAGCTACTGGGGAGGCTGAGGCAGGAGAGTCACTTGAACCCACATGGCTGAGGTTGCAGTGAGCCAAGATCGTGCCACTATACTCCAGCCTGGGTGACAAAGTGAGACTCTGTCTCATAAATAAATAAATAAATAAGCATCACAGTAGAATTGATGACCAAATCTTTTCAAAAATCAATGATAAAAACTACTTTTAAAGTTCCAAAGACCAAATACAACTCTTTTTAGTATCTTCATCCTACTAATCAGAAGGTAAGAATGTAAAGAAAAATATTTTAATCATCTCATACACATAAGCACAGCACTTTATCAGAACTTCTAGCTCCTTCAGAATGAAGTTATAGAGATGATGAATTAACACTGCTACTTATATTAAATTTAAACAGGAATTTGTTGCTTTTCCCCATTATTTCCCCATCAAAGAAACTATTTTAGAGATAATTTTTATGTTTACTCATGTTATAACACTAAAGTCTGTTACCTTTAGTCCTGGTGCAGGATAGAAACCTTCAACTAATTTGCTGTTATCAAAAAGACTATAGGCACCATCCCGTATTGCCACAACACCTCGACTCCGGCAGTATATATCGATGCAATACATGTTCCTGAAGGCCAGTCTGATGTGGGTGGATGACTGTGGTAGAATGGAGAAGCACTGGTAGGCAGTGTTGGTTCTCTGGGTCAAGCCCAACATGGGCACAGTGGGGAGTTTGTTGATGGCATTTAATGGAGCCTGAGTATCAAACAGTACCTAAAAGGAACAAACACAGTGAGAGCAACCAGTTTCTGTACAAACGTTAAAACCTCAGACTTTTCAGTGTATAAATGTCAAAAACGAGACAACGTCCTTCTGGCAGATTCCATAAAACTTCCCCTTGAAGAAAATGCAAACTAGATCACTGGGTCCACATTGAATCAAAGAAAATTCTCAAAGAAGTGTTCAAGATATAGAAGACAAAAGTTATCAGTCTTAGTCATTAAAGACAAGTCTCCATGATCTTTTGAAGAGTTTTGCCTGAGACACTAAATGCTGTTTTTGTTTGTTTGTTTGTTTGTTTTTTAAGACAGGGTCTCATTCTGCCACCCAGGCTGGAGTGCAGTGGCACAATCACGGCTCACTGCAGCCTTGACTTCCCCAGGCTCAGGTGACCCTCCCACTTCAGCCTCCCAGATAGCTGGGACTACAGGCGTGCATCGCCACACCTGGCTAATTTTTGTATTTTTATAGAGACAGGGTTTTGCCACATTGCCCAAGCTGGTCTTGAACTCCTGAGAACAAGCAATCCTTTCGCCTTGGCCTCCCAAAGTGTTGGGATTACAGGTGTGAACCAGCACGGCTAGCATACAACTCTTATTTTTAGACAGAAAATAAACTTAATTACCTGTAATAACTGAACCACATTTGGTGTTTTGTTGAACATTTCTTGAAGCTGATGGAGAATGGTATTGTGACAGTTACTGCAACCTGAGTTTGGGCCAACAGTTCCCAAAGAAATGTGGAATTTTTGATGGACTGAATTCCATTGGATACTAATCTAAATGAAAAAGATTACATGTTTCAGAAACTGAGAAAGTAACAGATTCAAGTAGGGGGAAAAATGTTAAAAGTAAGGCAAAATGCCAAAAATCTAAAGGAGATTTTTTTTTTTGGAAAACAAGCAATAAAATAAGACTGGATTCGAACTCCAGATGTGCTAATATGTGTTAATATTGAAAGTACATTCCCTGACCATGTGTTAGTCCTCTTTTACTAAATAAAACAGAAAGGCGCTAAAACAACTTTATTAAACTTTATTTGAAAATTATCATTAGTTTTTCTTTTCATTTTTCTCTTGAACTAAAGAAGAGTCACACTCTTGGTACCATCAACTAAGGAGCACTGTCATAAAGGGGAAGGGTGCCACTCTGAACACAGATACATTTGGTTAATAGATTTTAAAAAGCTCAAGTAACCTGACATTACTTGACGTAGAAGTCTAGAGAGAAACCAGTTGGCTGCATTTTTATACTACATTTCTAGGACTTTACATGTGAGGTGGGAAAAAAATAAAGAACTACAGATTACAGGAAATACTTCAAGATTAAGATGAAACAATGTTAACATTCATGTGCCCAAAAGCAAAAACATCCCATATTGTTATAACCACTCATACATAATTTTCCTTACAATAATCACATTGCCAAGCAAATCTGTAATCAGTGAAGAAAAAAATACAAACACCATCAGTACATTACCTTGTCCAAATTGCTTCAACATCATATACCCCATCACAGGGTTATTATTTTTGTTTTCAATTTTAAAGAGTTAAGCATTATAGTATACTATATTTACAGCCACAAGCATTTAAAATTTACCATTTTATCCCTAACTTTTACTTGAGCTCTTACTTATATTAAGGTAATTTTCATGTTTTTTTAATTCTTGATTTTTAAAAAATTCATAAGACAGGAACTTCAGCATTTCTATTAGACTTACTGAGCTTCCCTTGGTGGTTCCATAACACAAGATAAGTTTGCGGTAATTATAAACACGAACTTCTGAGAAAATATTTAGATGAGCGGGTATGTCTAAACCGAAGGAAACAAAAAGGAGATTAATATTATACATGTAAAATTTTAAAATATAAATTTGAATAAGAGGGCATTTTGGCAATATTATATGCCCAGACAGGTCTCTAGTTAAGTAACTTGGTTTAAAAAAAAGCAACAGCATAATAAATAATATGCTTCCATTTCTACAAAAGGGGGCAAGGGCAGGTGAGATACACTGAAGCAGTCTAGCATAGTGGTTAAAGGGTTCCAATTCCAACTCTGCCACTCACTAGCTATGGGACTTTATACAAAGTTCTTGGTCTTTGCAACTTGTTTTCTTCTGTAAAATGAGGAATAATACTCACCTCATGATTGTGATTGTGAAGACTGTGAAGATAACTCATTTGTTAACACAAGCAAACTGTTTATAATATTGTATGGCACACAGTAAATAAGCACTATTATTATGATACAGTATACCTGTGTGTAAAATTTTTGCAAACAAAAGAAACTTAACAGTGGTTTTCATTAGGGGAAGGAAACTGAAGTCTGAAGTGAAAGGAACACTTAAGTTTTATTAGACATACTTTTGATTTTTTTGCTTTGAACACTGTGCATGTTTTACTTCTTCAGTTAAAAAAAGGGTATGGACTTTTTTTTTTATTATTATTTATTTAAAAAGGAGATTATCTCTACATGTACCTGGTAGAGAACGTGCAAATTCCAACACACACTCATATAATCGTGCAATGCTATTCCAGTCATTAAGAAACATTTCAACCACTTTTCTACCACCAACAGGCTCAGACAACAGATTTTCATATGTCAGGTAAACGTGCCGGGATGGGCCTACAGGATTAAAAGAGAATATTAATAGTAACCGATACTAAAAAAATCCAGAAATATGCAAAGACAAAATGTGTGAAACATCTCACCTTGCTCCCTGGTAGAAGTGCCATTAAGTGGACAATTTGCAAACACTAACTCTGCTACCCAAGTGCGGTTATTTCTACCTTGTAATCGGAAAGTGCAATCAAGAAGAGAGCGGTCCAGAGCCTTTTGGGTTTCCTCACTTATACCCTTACAGGGAGGAATTCTGGTGATAAAAGACAGCATATGAAATACACTTTACACAGACAAAGCGCAATGTACACAATGACAGACAGGGTATGACATTAGAGCTTCAGTTCAAACTCCACTTCTAGATACCTTCTGCCAAGGCAGGAAGCAATTCACAGCAATTAATAGTATTTAATCCATTTCCATTCACATCAATATGGATTAGAACTCTCATTTTAACAGTGATGTTTGTCTTTATTCATAATTTTGTTCTTTAAAAAAGACTACAATTCTACAGAATGAAAATCAAGAACACTGGTTTTCTACAAAATCTATCTAGAACATCCTCAAGGAAAAGCTAAGGGGAACAAATCCTTATAAAACCACTCTTTGAAGACAGGATGATACAGTACAAAGAATAAGGGCCTTGGAGTCAGAGACCCACATTCTAACTCTGACTCAGCCACATTTAATGTCTCTGAATTTCCCAATTACAAAATAGAGATGAAGAATTACTTTATGTGTCATTGATGAAAAAAATGAAAGTGCTTATGGTGGCTGACACAGCAGGTATTCATATGTTTTGTTTTTTAAGAGATGGAGTCTTGCTGTGTTGCCCAGGCTAGCCCTGAACTCCTGAGCGATCCTCCCACCTCAGCCTCCCAAGTAGCTGGAATTACAGGTGCACACCACCAAGCCTGGCCCCATGTAGGTTAATTCTCCCTTGCAGTAAAACCAAATCTTGGTCACTGACTGAATAACCATGATAAAATTCCAGGTTCATTATCCCCACTTTGCCACCTCCTCCTCTGTAGAGGTAACCCTTATTTTCATAGACCTTTACATGTATTAACTCGTTTAACATACATATTGTCACACATACATCACATATACAAGAGGAATGTAGTAGCTTGGTTTCTTAAAATACCTACCTATCCATTTTCTTTCTACAGCTTTACAAACTATCTCATTGGTCATAAAACATTATGAGGTAATATATTTTAGCTATTTATGAGTTAATTTCAGTAAGAGATAAAATAACGAGATATTATAGGCCGGGTGCGGTGGCTCACGCCTGTAATCCCAGCACTCTGGGAGGTCGAGACGGGCGGATCATGAGGTCAGGAGATCGAGACCATCCTGGCTAACACGGTGAAACCCTGTCTCTACTAAAAAATACAAAAAACTAGCCGGGCGAGGTGGCGGGCGCCTGTAGTCCCAGCTACTCCGGAGGCTGAGGCAGGAGAATGGCGTAAACCCGGGAGGCAGAGCTTGCAGTGAGCTGAGATCCGGCCACTGCACTCCAACCTGGGCAACAGAGTGACACTCCGTCTCAAAAAAAAAAAAAAGAGAGATATTATTTAATTATATATAACCTTTACCTCATACAGAAGGTGGTTAATTCTCAGATTTGGTATAATAAATATCTATATTGAGGCAAAAAAAACAACAAATATAATTGGAATTATGGAATCTTGGTTCAGACCCCTTAATTCAGAATATAACACCTAGAACAAAGTTTCTCAGTCTTGGCAGGATTGGTATTTGGGGCTGGAAAATCCTTTGTTGTGGGGTGAGGGGGCTGTTTTGTGCAGCCCAGGTCTCTACCATCTGCAGACATTGCCAAAAGTCCCCTGCAGGGCAAAACTGCCCTGGGGTGGAGAACCACTGACCTGGAATAAACAACTTGAGAGCAAAAAACAGATTGCATGTGCTAATTAAAACTTCTATCACAGCTTCTCTTCAATATACAGCTTTTGAAGTTTTTCAAAAGTTAATCTTTCACACTATATAGTTTTTATCACTACCAGAAAGATTTTGTGCAACTATATTTTGGGTAGTTATTACAGAAATTGCATACACTACTTATCTGTTCTTCAACTTGACAGGTACACTGACGACTTGCCTGCCCTTACCCCTCACAACATAGCCCTCCCCATAGGAGTTATAAAGCAGCCAATTCAGACAGATTTTTAAATCTCAAGTTTGAAAATATAAATGCAGAACATTATCTTCCTTTCAAATAAAACAGGTTTTTCACAAAATCTATCTAGTTAGAAAAGGAAAGCACAGAAGTCAGTATGTGTTCAAGTGAGAACTAACATTAGTGTAAGCCTCTTTTCCATTTATGCTCTTAGGGACAGCGGAACCCTGAAAGTGCATTGTATATCACTTTAATCTGTGATGCAGATACAATGAGCTCTACCTCAAGGCACACGTAAAATAGTTACTTGCTTTTAAGGTTATGAATGGAACAGAATGAATAAAAATAAACTGTAACTTTTATCTTCCCGGCATGATCATGTGAGGGGGAAAAAAACAACAACCCAAAACCAGGTTCCCCAAAAGGAAACCTGACAAAATTGTTACAAACTTAAAATACTGCAAAATACTACTATAGTAGCCAAAAATTAAGAACCGTGGAAGGTATTTTCTGGACAATGGATTAACCTATCTGAAAATTTTTGCCAATTCAAAAATGTTTGCTTTACACGGCTGCTCCTAACCAACTTTTCTCCTGTACTTCTCAGTATTAAACAAATTGAGGAGCCAGGTTATGGTCTTTTATGGTCTGGCAGATGTGTGTTAGCTTTGTTGTGAGGGCTTTTACAAACATCATTAACCCCACTATGGCCCTGCAGTGCAAAAGCAGGGAGATCACTGAAAGTACTAGCAAAAGCAGCATGAGTGTGCCTAAAAGGAAAGTGAAGAGGTTTTTATAAAGACTGTACACGTGTGTGAAGGACAAGCTGGGCCGCACAACTTGCAAAAACAGAGCTGTGCCTGTGCATTATCAGCATAAGCTATAGGAGGCAAAGAAACACAATGGAGGAAATGAAAAACCCTCGTGGGTGTGGCCAGAGGACCTTTACTACTGCCCATGACTGTGACATGAGTTCAACGAGAAGGTGGGAAGTTTGCTGAAGTGTTCAAAACTAGGCACCATGAGCATGCCGCTCTCAAAACTTGTGTGCCAAGCCTGATTTGGGTTATAGGATCAAGGTTCTTGAATTTGCACAAGGCAAAAGGTCCATGAACCATAGCAACTGAAGAAGCTTACCATGATACATTTGATACTATGATTGCAGAGATGCATCAAGGAGGCCTGCTCAACACATTTTCAAGGAGATAAAGTAGAACAAGAACAGAATGTATTTTTGGCAAAGAGAAGGAAAGTGTGCCAATTTTAAAGCTTTGAAGTATCAACTCATATTCATATTCAATATTAATATATCCACGACTAAAAGCTTGTTACAAGAGTTTCTGAAAACAAATGCATGAGTCCAATTCCATACTAATTAGGTCTATATAGGATTTTAATAAAATCATGTTGAGACATTTATTATTTACTTTTTCCTTCTTCACTTCTAAACCCTACTCCAACAATGGACAGCACTTACTGGACGAACAGTTATCTTTAACACATCCATTTATGTATATTTTCCTTTATATTTTAAAATAAAGAAAACAAAAGCCAGGATTAAAGACTTTAAGAGTTATTATAAAATGAAGCTAAAAAAATATAAAGTACTTCCTTCCTAGGTAGGACTCTTATGCATTCCCTTGAGTTCAAGAAGAAAGGAGACTGAAATTTCTCTTGTAAAAATGCCGAGAACAAGATATTATGCAAATTATCAACTTATCTACAGGTGCCAAGAAGAGTAAAAAGAAAAAAAAATAACCTATATTCAAGGCAAAGCAATTCAAAACCAAACGCAATTGAAAGTATTGCATTTTCCTACTGATTTCCATTATAAGACTAGTTCTCTCTCTCCTGAAAATGTTTTTGTAGAAATGGTGTTAAGATAGCCTGGAAGAGGAACTATTCTAGTTCTTCAATTCTGTGGTATCTAAAGGGACCACTAATGACACATGAGTCATGTGACACTATTTGCTAGCTCTACCTTCCACAGAAACAGATTCCTATATAACAAATGGTAAAGCCCCATTGCTCAAATTGCAGAGCTGCTATGTCTTAGCAGACAGAGGAATTCAATAAATAAAAATTGCTTATATAATTTATATCATTAAGCAACACCTGGGAAACAATAAAGTGTACCTCTCCTTTGCAAAGAAATCTGTTTCCTGGACCAAAAAGGTTGATCTCTTAGATGGTATTCTGGTTTGCAAGTCCATACTGGGTCACTTTATAAAGCACATGTACCACATTAGCTTTACTTCTAAACATCCTTTGGCTCCTCGTCCTTTGTCCATTAGAACTAAGCCCTATGACCATTTCCTGCATACTCTTTCCTGGTGATCTAATTTACTACCCCAGCTCAATTACTATCACCATGGTGATGACTTTATCTACTTCTCCTTCCCAGATCTGTTACCTGAGCTTGAAACACATGCCCAAAGGGTATTCAGGCACCTTAAACTTAGCAAAGTCCATTCAAACTCACATCTTTGGTGTCCCTTATCTCAGAAAACACTGCCACCATCTATCATTTGCCCAAGATAAAACCAAGAATCATCTTTGCCACTTTCCCCTCTTTCTCACCTTCAACACCAATCTAATCACAACTCGTGAATACTTTCTCTCCTAACTCCTTGTGGAACGTACCCTGCTCTGAGCTACCAACAACTCTAATGTGAACCATTTCACCAACTTCATTACTTTAGTCTTGTTCCCCTTCAATTTATTCTCCATATTGCTATCAGGTTGAGCTTTCAAAAACACCTATCTAATGATGTCAGTTTTAGCTTAAAATCATCTGATAGCTTCTTAGTGCCATTAGGATAAAACCTAAATTGTTGAAGGACATTTACATAGGCCTAAAGGATCTGACCAATTCCTGCTTACATTTCCAGCCTCATTTCTCCCATCTCCTGCCATGCCGAACTCCTTTCAGCACAAAAATGCCAAGCTCTCTCTTCCCTCTAAGCCTTCACATTAGCAGTTATCCCTCTGGTTAGGACCTCCACTACCTCTGCCCCACTTTCCTCTTATTCTCACCTCTCCTTCAGTCCGAGTACAACTGGTACCTCCTCAAGGATACCCTTCCTGACTTCTGAACTAGTCCATATTCCTCTGCTTTATGAACCGACAGCATTCTGAGGGGATGTCAGAACTCAAGCCTGACACACAATCACACTCAATATATATCTGCTGAATGAAAAGACATCCAAAAATACCAAGTGAGGCCAGGTGCGGTGGCTTATGCCTGTAATCCCAGCACTTTGGGAGGCCGAGGCAGGTAGATCACTTGAGGCCAGGAGTTCGAGACCAGCCTGGCCAACATGGCAAAACCCTGTCTCTACTAAAAATACACAAAAACTAGCCGGGCATGGTGGTGTGCGCCTGTAGTCCCAGCTACTTGGGAGATTGAGGCACAAGAATTGCTTGAACCTAGGAGACGGAGGTTGGGAGGTTGCAGTGAGCCAAGATTGTGTCACTGCACTCCAGTCAACCTGAGCAAAAGAACGAGACTCTGTCTCAAAACAAACAAACAAACAAAACAAAACAAAACAAAAAAACCAAGTGATGCTGGATTGCCACTCCATAGATTAAAGGGAATCTTCCCCCAGACCCTAGTAACTCTATGCAGAAATCCACAACACCCACAGGTTCTGAACACTGCTTTATGTTGTCTCATGGAAGAGAAGCAGCTTTCAGAGTGTGACTGCAACATATGGCACCAAGTGAAACACATGACAGGGGCTTACTTTAATAAGCGAATTGCATGGCTGAAGCCATCACCTTCCACTTGCACTCCTTGATGTGGAATCTCCAGATTGGACAACTAGAAAGAGAAAAACAGAATTATATCAGACCACCAATTTTACAAAAACAACTACCATTTCTAAGTACTACAGTCTCTATTCTTGTGGCACGTTACAGGGCCATTCTTTCCCCAAGTTACAACGTATTAGGCATGAGTATTATCCCCATCATTAGATTTCCTGGGAAACTATACAAAGTCCAGTGGAACTCAAAGCTGTCCCAGCCCATCTAGTTTAAGAAACACCTCCACAAGTGGCAAATATTCAAAATTCAGGAGATTAGTCTAATTTTTGCAGTGAGCCAAAAGTAATCTAGAATCAATTTTAGTAGTTCAAGAGGCCACTACAAAATAAGAATGGTTTTCTCGTGTAATTCTATACTGTTTGTTCAAAACAATGTTTGAGTCACTGTCGTAGCTTATTTCTAAACAATATTTTTTAGTTTACAACTCTTCTGAAATATATTTTTAAGAATTAAACTACTTCCTATGTGAAACTCAAGAAAAGATTTCCAATTTGTGCATTTACTCAATGACATCTCTTTCCCAATTAAAGGATTCAGAAAGCAAATTAAAAAGATAAATGCAGAGATAGTGCCTGAAACCCTATCCATGGGACTGCAAGTAATTACAGTATGCCAGAAAGTCATCTGATCTAAAGAAATGCTTGCCTTTGGCAGATATTCCCAGGTCTTGCATGACAGACTATTTATATCTACCATGTTCTGGAAAGGATTTAAGGAAGTTCCAAGTATTTAAGTGAGCCCCGCTCTTTGGGCCTGGGAAAGGGAAAGGTTTAGAAAAAAAGCTGCTACCAGATAGGAAGTAGGGGTTCAGATTCAAAAGGAAATGAAGTGTGGGCCAGCTCAAAAATGTTGCTGCTATTCTACCAATCAGACATATAAACATCCGGCCGGGTGCGGTGGTTCACACCTGTAATCCCAGCACTTTGTGAGGCTGAGGCGGTCGGATCACCTGAGGTCAGGAGTTCAAGACGAGCCTAGCCAACATGGTGAAACCCCATCTCTACTAATACAAAAATCAGCCAGGTGTGGTGGCACATGCCTGTAATCCCAGCTACTTGGGAGGCTGAGGCAGGAGAATTGCTTGAATCGGGGAGACTGAGGTTGCAGTGAGTCGAGATCGCGCCATTGCACTCCAGCCTGAGTGACAAGAGTGAAACTCCATTTAAAAAAAAAAAAAAGATATATAAACATCTCTTATAAGATTAGATTTAGTTTTAGTTAGTCACATCTCAGCCTAAATTACTTTAAGTAGAAAATGTGCTTGCTTTTATGTTTAACATAGCTAGAATGTTCACTGAGAATAAAAAGTAGGTAAGTTTTTAAGAGTTTGAGTTCAATAGAGCACTACAGAATGTTCATCTGTGTCCCATATGTGCAGCAAGTATAAGAATACAGAGAAGGTGGAAAGAGAGGATGTATGTCTACAGTCATTAACCTACGTAGGCCTACAAAGACGCACATTTTTGCAAATTCTGGCCTGTGGGTAGGGAAGAGAGGATATAAATGCACTGCTTTGCCCCAGCACCATATATCCATCTTCCCTTCCCACTGCAAAGGTAGTTAACTGAATGACATTCATATAATCAATCCAAATAACACAATAAAAGAGTCCAAGAATACAGTCAATTACATGGGAAACATGGATACACTACAGTTTAGGAGCTAAGGCCAGTATCCAGATAAGAGGACATTCATCAAGCTCACAGTTCTAGGAGCTGGGTCATCAAGGACAAGAGTATTTATTTTAGGTGCCTGTTTCTAGGCTTGGGTTTCTCTCTGGGCTCTTTACAATTTCACACCTTATCCTCTGCCTGCAGATCCCAAAGTCCTGTAAAGCAGGGGTTGGCAAACAACAGCTCATGAGCCAAATCCAGCCCACTGCCTGGATTTTCTGTTTGTTTGTTTGTTTTGAGAAGGAGTCTCGCTCTGTCGCCCAGGCTAGAGTGCAGTGGCGTGATCTCGGCTCACTGCAACCTCCGCCTCCCAGGTTCAAGCGATTCTCCTGCCTCAGCCTCCCCAGTAGCTGGGATTACAGGCCCCCGCTACCATGCCCAACTAAGTTTTGTATTTTTAGTAGAGACGGGGTTTCACCATGTTGGCCAGGTTGGTCTCAAATTCCTGACCTCAGGTGATCTGCCCACCTCGGCCTCCCAAAGTGCTGGGACTACAGGCATGAGCCACAGCGCCTGGCCCACTGCCTGTTTTTGTAAATGAAGTTTTACCATAACACAGCCATGCTCATTTGTTTAAATATCAGCTCTGGCTGGTTCACACTACAACAGCAGATTTGAGTAGCTATAACAGAGACCACTTGGCCCACAAAGTCTAAAATATTTATATTTGGCTCTTTACAGAAAAAGTTTCCCAATCCCTGTTCTAAAGCATGAAAGCTATTTTCAACAAATCTTCCCAAGGCCATCATCATCAGCCCAGCTGAAAAAGTCCATTTCCACATTTCCAGGTCTTTCCTTCGTTCACAATAACTTACAGAGGAGGGGATTCTTACAAAACATAAAACTTTAAACTACAGAGAAATAACTGGGGTTTCAGTGTATCACTTTTGAGTGGCTACCCATCCTTGGCCAAACTCCTTTTTGGAAATACAAAAAATGCAGGTCTGTTACCTCCCTTTCACGTTTGAGGATTATATTGGATATCACAACTGCATATTCTTTAAAGGCACTAATTCTGCATAAATCTATTGCTTCTCCCATGTGAGAAAAGTAAAAATTTAGTTTAATATTCTTTCTGATCTGCTTCTTAGAAAGGATCCCAGTTTTACTAGGGCTTAAGCAATATACATGGCTTTACCAACTCAAAAATAAGCCACCCAAATATCAACTAACCGTCTCTAATAGCCTTAAACAATGCTCCTACTGAGGTATAAAAGTAAAATGTTAATTCTTAAAAACTGTCCACTTGTTTTTCTTTCTTTAACTTTTTTAATAGAGACGAGGTCTTGCTATGTTGCCCAGGCTGGTCTTGAACTCCTGAGCTCAAGCAATCCTTCCACCTTGGCCTCTCAAAGTGCTGGGATTATAGGCATCAGCCACTGCACTCAGCCTGTCCACTTTTTCTTTTATCCTTTTTTTTTTTTTGGAGACAGAGTCTTGCTCTGTTGCCCAGGCTGGAATACAGCGGTGCAATCTTGGCTCACTGCAACCTATACCTCCCGGGTTCAAGTAGTTCTCCTGCTTCAGCCTCCCAAGTAGCTGGGATTACAGGCATGTGCCACCATGCCCCAATTATTTTTGTATTTTTAGTAGAGACAGGGTTTTACCATGTTGGCCAGTCTGGACTCAAACTCCTGACCTCAAGTGATCCACCCACCTAGCCTCCCAAAGTGCTCGGTGTGAGCCACCGTGCCCAGCCCTGTCCACTTTTTTTAACTGGGAAAAATTTACATTCAATTTCCATAAAGAGCAGAAGACCCAGAATCTGGAATCAGAGAGATGAAATAATTCAAGCCATGTTTTACATGTATACCATAAGATGCTATGATTGTAACCCTACCACTCCTCCCAAAATGAACAGGATCACAAACATTCTGCTTTTCCTAGTGGAATCTATATATACCCTGAGCAACACATTTTAAAAACTACTCTTTCATATGGGGTATTCAGAACTGTTCCAAAAAAATTACCTCCAACCGAAGTCCTACAAATGGCATATTTGTATCACACATAGCGACAAAGTGAGCTAAAACTTTATTGAAGGCACACATTTCTCCTGATCGTTTTGTTTTCTTGGATTCTACTGGACATGGATCATCAGACAACTAGAATTTAAGTAAAGAACACAAACAGGTAAAAAAAAAAAAAAAAAGGTACATGTGATACAATTCATTAAGATAGTTAAAATACTGGAAGAAAGTTCAGGGTTAACCAAAACAAATGTTACTGTATTTACTGAGTAAATACTGACCTAAACACTGGTAATTTATTAGTAAATATTTTGTGTTTAACAAGTTATCTCATGGAAAATGGACAATTATTTAATTAAAACAGAAGCATTTTCAAGAAAATGTAGACAATTGTTACTTAAGCCTTATTGCTGCCTCGTCTCTTAAAAACCGTATCTTAGTTCTTTCTCATATTAAAAATGAGTAAAGAACACAACCAAGTTAACACACACAAATTCTGTGCTCATTTTCATATGGAATCATACCTTGCGCTTGGCATTGGTTCTGGTCTGTTTCCCGGTTTTTGTACGAAAAACCAAGTCCTGGATGTTTTCCTTGAACTGCTGTAGCAGCAATGCCATTGCAGGACTGTCTTCACGATCTGCAGCATTCACAGACATAAAGTAGTACTTGTACGACAGTTGTGTGGGTTTATTGGGAACCTCCAACATCTCCACAACCTAAAAATCCCAAAAAGAAATAAGACTCAGAGAAATAATAAGTGTCAGATATTTTCCTCTGTACATCATCAAGTAAGGCTCAGAATTATAAATCTAATGTAGATGTCTTAAAAAAAAAAAAGAAAAAAAGAGGTTAAATCAATCGTATCAAAAAAGAGCATTACTAGTAAATACATAATTTGTTTTCCAAAAAGTACATGAGACCAAAGAAGAATGATAAAAGCAAAAGCAACCATAAAGTATAACAAATGGGGCATTTAAACTATTATGTGTTAGGTGTTCTTGATATTCATATCTCAGCTTTTAAATTGAAAATAAAAAATTATGCCTAAATCCAATAGGTCTGTGATATGGTTTGACTTTGTGTCCCCACCCAAATCTCATCTTGTAGCTCCCATAATTCCCATGTGTTATGGGAAAGACTCGGTGGGAGATGACTGAATCATGGGGCGGGTCTTTCCTGTGATGTTCTCATGACAGTGAATGGGTCTCACGAAATTTGATGGTTTTAAAAATGGGATTTTCTTTGCACAAGCTCTCTCTTTACCTGCCAACATCCACGTAAGCTGTGACTTGCTCCTCCTTGCCTTCCGCTGTGATTGTGAGGCCTTCCCAGTCACATGGAACTGTGGGTCCAATTAAACCTCTTTCTTTTGTAAATTGTCCAGTCTCAGGCATTTCTTTATCAGCAGCACGAAAACAGACTAATACAGTCTGCTAGATTTTCTAGAATGGTATCTATTTTAAATTGCTCTGCTGCCTCCCTTAACCACTCAAACATCCTAAAAATTCCATTATTAAGGCAGAGAAAAATGACAACCAACCCTCACACTTGCAAATATGTAAAAACAAACCCTAATTTTTCAACTGAAAAATATGGTCACTGTGAGGGTAACAATACTGACAGTTAACACTGATACAAAGCATAATACGTGCCAAGTATTGTCCCAATACTTTACAGATGCTAACATATTTAATCTTCCTAATAACCCTGTGAAGTAGGTTTTTTTGTTTGTTTGTTTTGAGACAGTCTTACTCTGTCAACCAGGCTGGAGTGCAGTGGCACAATGTCAGCTCACTGCAACCTCCGCCTCCCAGGTTCAAGCGATTCTTATGCCTCAGCCTCCCAAGTAGCTGGGATTACAGGCGTGTGCCACTACACTAGGCTAATTTTTTGTATTTTTATTAGAGGAGGGATTTTGCCATGTTGCCCAAGCTGGTCTCGAACTGCTGACCTCGGGTGATCCGCTCGCCTAGGCCTCCTAGAGTACTAGGATTACAGGCATGAGCCACCGCAACCAGTCTATCTTTATTTTTGCGATGAGGAAACTAAGGCACAAAAAAAGCAAGTTACTTGCCCAAGGTCATACATGTAGTAAGTGACGGACTCATGCTTTGATTCCAGAAGTTTGGCTCCAGAGGCCTTGCTCTTCCTACTATACCTGCTTACTGTTTCCAAGGTGTAGCTAAAATTTAAGAAAAGTCCCTAAATACTTTAGTGACAAAAATAAATGCCATTAGGAAAGGCTCCTGACCAACACACATTCTTTCCCATCTCTCTTCCTGCTTCCTTTCTCCCTTACTACCCCTCCTCCCCACACATACTCTTCAGGAAAGCATCACACTGATGAGGTACCTCAGGAAATGTTAAAATTAAAAGTCAAATGGCCATTTCACCAAAGAAGATAGGATGAGCACATGAAAATATGCTCAACATCTTCAGCCATTAGGGCAGTGTAAATTAGGCCTACGATAAGACACCACTACATACCTATCAGAATGGTTAATATTTTTTAAAAATTCTAATGACTAACTGTTGGTAAGAATGAGGAGCAACTAGAACTCTCATACATTGCTGGCTGGAATGCAAAATAGTACATCACTTTGGAAAACAGCTTGCAGTTTTCTACAAAGTTAAACACACATTTACCGTATGACCCAATAATCCCACTCCTAGTTACTTATCCAAGATGAAATAAAAAATGACAACTTATGCACACACAAAAATCTATATGCAAATGTTTAACAGCTTTAGTCACAATTGCCCCAAACTGGAAACAACCCCAATGTCCTTCAATGAGTGACTCATTAAACACAAACTGTGGTACTCCCACACCATGGAATGCTACTCTGCAACAAAAGGAAGAAACTATTATACACACAACACTACAGATGAATGTCAAAGGCATTATGCTGAGTCAAAGAAACTGGACAGAAAAGGCAAACCTATAGAGACAGAAAACAGGCCAGTGATTACTAGTTGGAGGGGACTGATCATAAGGGGTATTGTGAGGGAATTTTGGGGTATAATGGATCTGTTCTGTGTCCTCAGATGGAGGCTACACAACTGTATGCATTTATCAGAACTCAGGCTAAAAAGTCTGTATTTTTACTTTATGTAAATTATATCTTAATAAAGCTAACCAAAAAGGAAAGGTAAAATGGCAGAAACACATTTAAAGGGAGATCAATTGCAGCAAGACTTTCCTCTGTTCTTCTTAATGTCCATCGTAGTAGTTCTTTCCACTTCCATGAACATATCTCCCCTAAGTGATAAATCTAGAGGACGAGGAGTAATCTACATTCAGTTTTGGTGTAAACCATGTGAAACAAATTATTGCTTTATAATAGATCACTGGTCACTGACATTAAAGCCTGGTTGTTTGTTGATGCTAAATGTCAGAAAATAATTATAACCATTTTTATTTTATTTTGTGCATGGCTGATTATAAGAGATCTTTGTATGTTCATGGGTTTCGCTATGATGCATGTATTCTGTATTATCATTTCACATGTAGACCAAGCAAGCTCACTGAGAACTGAAACAATAGTCTTTTGTTGTGGGCCAAATCTAGTTCTACAGCTGCTGTTTTAAAATTCAGAAAAAAGTAAAATTCAGATCAATGACAGACTCATTAGTCTACATAAGTATCCCGAGCTTAAGATATGTTAGCCTACACATGGTGTCCTTTTAAAATAATATCTTTTAAAAGTACAGGTCAAAACCTTAAAAAGTTCACTCCCATTACTTTCAACCAACAATCTTGAATTAAAATTTTTATTTTTATTTTATTTTTGTAAGAGACGAGGTCTCACTATATTGCTTAAGCTGATCTCAAATGTCTGTGCTCAAGTGATCCTCCTGCCTCAGCCTCCCAAAGTGTTAGTTTTACAGGTGTGAGCCACCACACCTGGCCTGAATTAATATTTGTAAAACATAGATTCTTAGCCAACACATCTACTTGGTATACTTGGTATATATACAGAAATTTCTTTTTTCTTTTTTTTTTTTTTTTTTTTGAGACGGAGTCACCCAGGTTGGAATGCAGTGGCGCCATCTCGGCTCACTGCAAGTTCTACCTCCTGGGTTCACGCCATTCACCTGCCTCAGCCTCCCAAGTAGCTGGGACTACAGGCGCCCGCCACCATGCCTGGCTAATTTTTTGTTTTTGTATTTTCAGTAGAGATGGGGCTTCATTGTGTTAGCCAGGATGGTCTCCATCTCCTGACCTCGTGATCTGCCTGCCTCGGCCTCCCAAGTGCTGGGATTACAGGTGTGAGCCACCACGCCTGGCCAGAAATTTCAACAAGCAGGAAAATATATTCAGAATGAGCTCATATTTCAAATTATTGCAAATTTAACTAATTCAAAAATAAAGAAATTAGAAAACATACAGAAACAGTGAAAAAGGAATAAGAGAAGACCTCACTGTGCACTAAAAGGAACACATACTCAATAAAAAGAAAGATGCCTTCAATCAATGAAGGATGAAAAAATAAAGCCAATTCAGCCAGTCCATATTTGAAAGGTTTCACTATACAAGTTAATATTCAAGTCAAACAACTTTATCTGACATCAAAATATCACCAGGAATTGCTCTCAAATTTTTTATTCTTACAGAGATGTCTCATTGCAATCAAAGACTAGGCCTCATGATAGGACGGACCCTAGAGTGAGGGATGGGGTTATACCTTATGTTCCCCAACTGAGATATGACATTCCTCTCTCCCCCATTCTAACCCCCTGGGTTGAGAATCACTATATGAAAGTCAAATATTCAATAAAATTCATTGGCAAGTTAAACAATAAGTCATTTAAGATACTAACAGAATTACTAAACTTGATCACTCCAAATCACTCCTTTGCATACTTACAATGTAGTATTGTGGAAGGCGGGTAAGTTTAATGAACAGTTTATTCTTAGAAAGGTTTCCAATAGGATGAGTTGAGTAATTGGAAAGCTGCAATGTTTCACTGCTTATCGTAGGCAGATGTTTTATAGACTGCTTGCAACGCTGCTGTCCAAGCCAAAACCTGAATTTAAAAGTGATAATCCACATCAAATCTCAGACTTTTCTGATTATCTGCGTGCTATCAATTTACGAATGATTAAAGACCATTAAAAAAAATTAATTGAAATTTAACTCAAATTTAACTTAATATGACACATGGCCATAATGACAAATCATTTCTTCATAGTTTTGCATTAGACCGTCAATTCTAGTTTTAGTTTAAGAAGTTTAAACCACAATGTGAATGATCTTAGTTATAAGGTAGAATTAACTATAAGGATGAGATACTATATTAGTTTATTATAAGGAGTGACAGATTTCCTATAGTTTAAAGACAGCATCAACTAATCTCAATATTCTTTATATAGCCCCAGTTTTTAAATTGTGTATGTGTGAAGTGTGTAGTATATCTAGCAGGTCCCAGTAGTATTAACTACCTTTGTTCCCACAAAGGTAAGCTGCCAGATTTCACTGATGTTTTTAATATAGTACTCCTCTTATTCCTTGTATGTGATTATCTATCCTTGAAACTAGGACACCATATAATATGTAAAAAAGGGATAAAATGGCTGGTTCACAAACTCCACTGATGCATAATGAAACTACAGAAAACAAGAATTTTCACAGCAGCATAACAATGCCACAACATCCCAGCTCATATCAGCAGCCTTGCCTTGATGAATAGGGCAAAGACCAGTTTGGGTGCTGATACATTTGTGTGGCAAGTTGCATGTGGTACAAACTGTATACCAGTCATGTGCAGTAAAACCACGTTATAATATATGACATTTTAAGGGTAGTTTGTCAACTGTTCTGGAAACCGTTTTGTTTTTTTCATTGAAAGAAAAATTTAACTACAACTTTACGATCAAATGCAAGAATTGGTTACTGATGAAGGAATGAAGATAAATTTTGAAAATATACCATCACTTGCTTCATTTTGAATAAAAATTAAAAATTAATATCCTGAACTTGCTAAAATTTCTTTCAAATCTCTACTTTGATTCCCATCAACATAGCTTTGTGAGAATGATATCTCTACTATGTATGTTATTAAAAGGAAAACATGAGAAACATCTCTCATGATTAGCATGATCATCAATCTAACACAGACAAGTTATTACAAACAAGAAACAAGCTCATGTGTCACATTAAAAATTCTAACTACTGATATACCAGGTGGTCTTTTCAAAGTTGATCTGAAACTGCTATCTCACTCTTCACTATTTGTTATGATTCTGTGGGACAAAAAACTTGAGTCTAAGTGACTTTCTATATTAATTGCGTGTGTGTACACTTTCAATGAAAAATGTACACAGTTTCTATAATTTTCTTTTTTCCTATGTTTGTTCTGATTATATTTAGTGAAGTGTAACTTTATCTGTTGATTCTAATAAAAAAACACTGGGGCTTATATCTTGTACATGTTCTTTCATTTCTTTTTTCCTGGAATGCATTTTTATTGCACATTATTTAAAAAAGTAATCACATGAACAAACAGATGCTCAACATCATTATTAGGGAAATACAAATCAAAATTACAATGAGATACTTCTTCATACTCATTAGGATGTCTATATTCAAAGACAGTAACAATTGTTGGCAAGGATGTAGAGAAATGGAAATTCTCGCAACATTACTGATGGGGTTGTAAAATGGCACAGTCATTCTGGAAAACAGTTTGGCATTTTCTTTTAAAAGCTAAACAAATTACTGTACGCCCTAGCAGTTCCACTCCTTGGTGCCACTCCAAGAGAAAAGAAAACATAAGTCCACATAAAGACTTACACATGAATGTTCATGGCATCACTATGCATAATAACCAAAAAGTGGAAACAATCCAAATGTTCATCAATTGATGAATGGATAAACCAAATGTGGTATATCCATACAGTGAAATATTATTCAGTCATAAAAAGGAATGAAGTACTGCTACAATATGAATGAACCTTGAAAACATTATGCTAAGTGAAAGAAGCCAGTCACAAAAGACAGCATATTTTGATTCTACTTTATATGAAATGACCAGAAAAGGCAAATAGAAAGTGGATTCAGAGTTTTCTGAGGTTGGGAATGGTTAACTATAAATGGACATTTCTTTGGGGTGATGGAAATGTCCTACATGTTCTAAAAGTGGATTGTGGTGATGGTTGCAAAAGTCAGTAAATTTACAACAAATCATTGAATTGTACACTTAAAATGGGTGCATTTTTATGGTATGTAAATTATACCTCAATAAAGTTATTTCGAAAAATCAGTGTCCCATGATAGATTAGTGGCAAACTGGTCATTCACCACAGATCATTTGAGAAACACTATTATAAATGACAATCAGGGGACTTTTCTTATAAATAAATTATGTAAGTTTACGTACAGGCACACATTTGGTGAGTTAAAGGCTTCTGGGACTTAGCTTTCTGGTTTTAGTTTATATTTTGGTCAGCTAGAACTGCCAGATAAACAACCTCAAGTTATGCAAGATGTGAATTATTAAGCATGTTAGGATATTTAAACCTTGCTTATTTAGCCAAAATGCACAATGATGCTAAAACACTAAAAGTTTTAGAAATCACTACCCAGATTAATGACTGATTTTTTTTTTTTCACATACAGATAAACTAAATAGCTGCTCAAAAATAAAGGCTCACATAATATTATCTATCTACTGGCTTTAAAAATCATTCCCTGGGCTGGGCACAGTGGCTCATGCCTGTAATCCCAGCACTTTGGGAGGCCAAGGCAGGCACATCACACCTGAGGTCAGGAGTTTGAGACCAGCCTGGCCAACATGGTGAAACTCCGTCTCTACTAAAAATACAATAAATTAGTTTGGCATGGTGGCACACACCTGTAATCCCTGTCATTCGGGAGGCTGAGGCAGGAGAATCCCTTGAACCCAGGAGGCAGAGGTTGCAGTAAGCTGAGATAACGCCACTGCACTCCAGCCTGGGCAACAGAGTGAGACTGTCTCAAAAAAAAAAAAAAAAAAAAAATCCCTGAAAACAACAATTGGCTGGGCATGGTGGTATGCGCCTGTGGTCCCAGCTACTTAGGAGGCTGAGGTAGAAGAATCGCTTAAGCCTGGAAGGCAGAGGTTGCAGTGAGCTGAGATAACGCTATTGTACTCTACTCCAGCCTGGGTGGCAACAAAGCAAAACCCTGTTTCAAAAAAAGAAAAAAAAAAAATCATACCCTATTAATGAAAACATTACTTGGTTATATTGAATTTTTCAAATATTGGCTAAAGGGAAGGGCAGAGGCTAAAAGATTATAAGAACAATAGATCCCACTTTATAGTCTTTTCTTTACACAAGCCCCACCTGCCCCCCGTACTGCCTTCTCCATTTGCCAGTTTTGGTTTTAGTCTCTGAGTTTTTTTTTATCCTTTGGAATTTTGTTTTATTAATTTTAAGAAAGAGTTTGTTAGAGTTGCTATAAGGGTACCTTTGTGTACCAGAGTGGTAATGAAACTCCACAGAATTATATCTAGCTCCATTTTCAAATTTATTTACTTTAACAGTGTGAAGCATTTAAAGGATTTTGAGCCAAATTGAATGACAGTGTTCGAGAAGCAGAAATGACTTTTGAAAGTGTCAGTTGGTAGTCAACCATGATGATTACCCTGGATAAGAACAAATAGGACTTTATTACAGAGAACACTTGATACAATAAAATTCATTGTTTAAGTGATTTGTAAAGTGCTTGTACAGAAAAAAATGTGGTAAGGGATGAAAGCTGAGTGTTATGCCGTTCACACCTATATTTGCTCCTATATTTGCTCTAGAGGAGAATTTGATATGAGAAACTGACATCTTGGAACTATTTCAAGATAATTTAGATTCTAAGGTACCAAAAGGCACTTAAGTTTCATGTCATAAACCTTAAGGACAGTGACTGACCAAAAGTAATGATGGAGAAGAAAACATCTTGTCAAAATAAGTTTCCATTTTTAGTTTTGAGCTATATAAATAAGCTTACTTAAGTTGCTGAATCCAGGGTATGATTCGTTTCATATCATCATTCACAGACTTCTCCATATCATCCAGAGTGGCCTGGTCTACAGAATAAAGCACTTAATTAATTAACTGCTTACATGGGAAACAAAACCTTCATCTAAGTAGTGTAAAACAAATGAAAATTATTGTTTAAGGCAGAAAATTATGTTGTTTTTGAGTCAGAGAAAAATTAAACTAAATGTATCATGAGAAATAAGCCAACCTAGTTTGTTTTCCCTCTTTAACATTTAGGCAGCATTATAGATACGACAACTAATTAATAGCAAATGTACACTGGCAGAAAGAACAAGTAACAAATACATGAATCCATTTTTTGCCTATATTTTAATTCCCCAAACTCTTAGTCTACTTAATCAGTATTTTTAAATTATAAGTATTTAAAACTCACAGTATTACTAGACTTAGAACCTTAAAAATCATAAAATCAAAAACTCCACTGAAATGTTTACTTATGAAACACAAATGATCTCTGGCATATGCAAGAGCTGTTGGCTGAAGATCAGCTTGCAAATTAAGTCAGTTAGAATTTTTAATGACAGTAGAAAATGCTAGTAAATAATGAGCAAAAAAAGCAAGACACAAAATGATTTTGATTAATGGGGACAAAGTATAGAAAAAATTAGAAAAGCACTGCTATGGGGTCAACTATGTCCCCCCAAGATCCATATGTTGAACCCCTAATCCTCAGTGTGATGGTATTTGGAGAAGGGGTCTTTGGGAGGCAATTAGGTTTAAATGAGGTCATGAAGGTAGGGACTTCATGAAGGATCAGTAGTAGATTTATAAGAACGGAGGCCAGAGAAGTCGCTCTCTCAGCCATGTGAAGACACAGCAAGAAGGCAGCTGTCTACATACAAGCTAGAAAGAGAGCTCTCATCAGAAATCAACCATGCTGACACCTTGATCTTCAATTTCTGGCCTCCAGAACTATGATAAAATAAATTTCTGTTGTTTAAGTCACCTAGTCTATGATATTTTGTTATGGCAGCCTGAGCTGCTAAGACAAGCATACATCCCTAAAAGACTATTTTCTGTTGCTTTTCTAATTTTTGTGCGTTTAAGTTTTTTATTTATGAGTATGTACTATGTTAATAATCAGGAAAACAGTTAAATGTAAGTTTTTAAGAACAAATAACATTTGCCTTATTTGGAACCCACAGTTAAAGTAATTCATAAATGCATCATTTAGCCATCATAAATGTGATGTCATTCAAAGTAATTAGTTCAGTTTTCCATGAGCAGCCCATAGAAAAAATCTATGGCTATAAAATATAACCAGAAAGTCCTTTATTTTCAACCTTTCTAGCTGAATATTAATTTCAAATAGCAGATGTCCTAATATATTCAAGAACACTGTCCAGTAGCAATACAAAAACACTAAATTCTTATTTCATCATTTCAGAACACCAACTCAGTAGCAGAACAAGTAAGAAATCAAACTTTAATTTCTACTGTGTTTAGCCCAGAAAAAAAAATCCTTTCCTCCAGGATTCTGTACCTCAAGTCATCTTAGATGTTTCTACTGTAATAAAAATGTTCTTCAGCCACAAATGACATTAGAATTCCTTGTTGTAATTTCCATGTCACCCAGTGGTAAAATAGAAACTGAGCTACTGGGACAGATAAGTTAACCTAAAAAAACAGCGGCCATCAACATATTTTACATAAGCAAACATGAATATGCTTTATACTGGGAAGTTCAACATCTGCCACAAGAAAATCCAAAGTAGAGTTAAAACAGCCCTGAGGAACTGACATCAGCCAGAGTTATTGTTTCCATACCCACTTTCGACACTACATACACCATTCTTTCTTTCTTTCTTTCTTTTTCAATTTTTATTTATTTTATAATACTTTAAGTTCTAGGGTACATGTGCACAACGTGCAGGTTTGCTGCATATGTATACATGTACTATGGGTGTGCTGCACCCATTAACTCATCATTTACATTGGGTATTTCTCTTAATGCCATCCCTCCCCTCTCCCCAGACCCCAAAACAGGCCCCAGTGTGTGATGTTCCCCACCCTGTGTCCAAGTGTTCTCATTGTTCAATTCCCACCTGTGAGGGAGAACATACGGTGTTTGGTTTTCTGTCCTTGTGATAGTTTGCTCAGAGTGATGGTTTCTAGCTTTATTCATGTCCCTACAAAGGACATGAACTCATCCTTTTTTACGGCTGCATAGTATTCCATGGTGTATGTGTGCCACACTTTTTTTTTTTTAATTATTATTATACTTTAAGTTCTAGGGTGCATGTGCATAACGTGCAGGTTTGTTACATATGTATACTTGTGCCATATTGGTGTGCTGCACCCATCAACTCGTCAGCACCCATCAACTCATCATTTACATCAGGTATAACTCCCAATGCAATCCCTCCCCCCCTCCCCCCTCTCCATGATGAGATCACTTGGACTCGGGAAGGGGAACATCATACACCATTCTTTCTAATACCTAATGACAGAAAATGTTTTTTTTTGTTGTTAAAAATAATTTTTCTTACATTGAATGATTATATCATTTAGTAACTTACCAAGTCCATAAAGCATCAACTGAAACATTCCAGAATGCAAATCTACAAAAATGTGCAGACACTCTGAATTACCACAGGGCTCCAAGATGGGAACAACAAGAGCTGGGAGTGCAGTCTCTATGGAAGCTGAACAATCAAGAATTAAAAATTACTTTTCCATCTGAATATTTTCCAGAAAAATTATTTCTCAATCAATGAGTACAAACAAACCAACTACTGAAGGATCCTAAATGTTAGAGAAAAAACATGATTTTGCAAAATTTGCAATAGTATTATTATGTCAGTTAGTAGTTCAAAAAGAAAAGAAAGTAATTTTCAAGGTGACTTGAAACAAACATGCCCATCTCAAATACTACAGCAAAAAAAATCCAAAATTTCTTAAAGAGGGTTGAAATAGTGAAAATTCAGTTTCATCAGTGAGCTGAGTTCTAGTTTTACTTTCACTTGGTAATTACTAATAAGTTAATTAATTTTTAAGGATTTTCTCTCATATATAATGGAAAGAAAACTGGTTGTTTGTAAACAGAATAAATATCTTCTATGGCCGCATGATTTTCAATGCCATTCTTCATAAAAAAGAGGTATTCTGGCAATTAGAGCCCATGTGTTTAAAGAAACACTTGAAAACTAATAAACATTATTGATTACTCAGGAAGAAAAATTTTTTTCAAGTCATTTGTGTACTCCATTTCAAGTCACAGATGAATTAAGAACATAGGCAACTGCTAAACACAAATCCCCAAAGCTGACAATATACCTGATCTAGAGTTTCATAGTATTTCCACCAGGCCCAATTAACTTTTCTCTTAATTCTGCAAGTGACATAATGAAATCCAGTAAACAAGCAAAACATTGAAAACACACTAAGTGCTGATCAGATTGAGGGGTTGTAAAAGGAATATGCTCTTCTTGTTACCAAGTTCCTCTGAAGCTACAGCACAGAAAAAGAAAGGCAGATACAGATGGGAATGGCGATACAGGTGCAGGAAGGAGAGGTAACGTGGCAGGCGCAGAGGGGAGTGGCGATGCAGGCTTTTCACCAGGCGTGGCTTCTGCCTGCTACTTTGTTAAACAAGGACAATAACATCTTCCCCTCTATGCCACAGGTTGTTAGGATCAAGAAATGACAAGGCTGTGAAAGTGCTTTAAAAAGCAAAGTGTTCGACAAATGTATACTATCTATATTCCTTTTGAATCAAAGAAACAAACCAAAACCTCTTACTATAAATTTTCAATAATTCAAATGGGTGACATTACCATTGGTACTGTCTACACAAACAAATTATCAAACAAATTAATAAAGTAAAAGATTGCAGAAGATATATTTAATTAGAGAAAAATAAATTGCTTTAAAGCACAGGGTGGGCATCCTAAACTCCAAAATTTGAAATGCTCCAAAATCCAAAACTTTTTGAGTGCTGACATGATGCTCAAAGGAAATGCTTAATGAAGCATTTTGGATTTCGGATTTTCAGATTTGGGATGCTCAACCTGTAAGTATAAATGCAAATATTCCAAACCTGAAAAAAACATCCAAGATCTGAAATACTTCTGGTCTCAAGCATTTCAGATAAGGGATACTCAACCTGTACATCTAATACATATTTGTATACAAAATGTTTAACATGCAAATCCAGCAGAACTCTGACCTGAAAAAAACAGAAAAGGGCAAAAACAAAAATTTCTTTTACCCTATAATTCAGACCAATGTGACAAATTAGTTCAAATCAGTGATGTTTTGCTGAACTTACTATGTTAACATAATAAAAAGTTATTACAAATGTGAAACAGAGTTACTGATTTTTGAAACATTTCCATACTGTTACAATTCCTGACAGGGTAGGAGTGGATTCTCTAAAGCAAAACCATTTCTAAAGTGTGGCAACGGAGCAAAACTAGTTCTGGGAATTGGGGTAACAATTATAATTTCAATCTAATTACCACAATTGAGTATTCTTAGAAAAATAGGGCATCAAAGAATACAGAGAACACAGTTCAAAAGACAAGAAATACTTAGACATAAATTGATGTACATATTTTTTAACCACCAATGCCCACAGTTTTCTTTACAGAAAATAAAATACATAATGCCCTAAAGCATTTAAAGGCAACAGGTTTTAGGTATACAAAAATGGGGAAACTTGCAAAGAAAATAAAGAAGAGGGAATTAAAAGCAGTGTAAGATGACAGGACTTGCTGCTATTTCGTCCCGCAAGAACACATACGTATCTCCTTTTATTTCTATCATTTATTGAGAACAAGATGAGGAATGGATGAACAGACAGTAATATAAAGTGTGAAGAGTGAAGAGCAGCCACTAAGCTCAATTAGGAATGGCTGTGTGTGGTTCATAGCTTCCAAACTGATCAGGATGCCCTGATTACAAGCGCTGAAGGGTAGAGTACAACACAACGGAGCAGCACCCTGGCTTTCAAGAGTTAGGCAATGCTGCCAACTAGGCCATATCTCAAGTTACCTTTAGTGCCTTGCACTGCCTTTTTGGAACTTATCTCCAAAGTCCTGCCTCCTCTCCCCTAAACCATTTCTACCCCCACGAAACCACATACCTGAGCTGCTCAAAATCTGAAGTCTATGCCTTCCCCTAGCCTTCCCTTGAAATGCTCCATTCTCTGAACTACTCATTTCCTTGGGTTATTCCAGTTAGGTGTTAAAAGAAAAGCCAGCTGATTTAAGGGTGACTGCACTAAGGGATTCTAAGAATAGACTATGTAGTCCCTGGTTCCAGTAGGGATCTTAATAAAGCATGCTCACCCATCAAAAAAGGATCAAGTAAGACTACATGGAGAGTATAAATGCATGCATGTGAATTTTAAAAACAAGTTAAAGCACACGCTCTAAAATGGTGGGTCGGCAGACCCTTTCCTCTAGCAGTCCTCATTTCTAGAACTGTCCTGATTAAAGCAGAACTGAGGAGATCAACCCCGCATGCAAGCATCCCCCTTCCTTCCAAATTGTAGTCCCTAAGGCACCCTTCTCTAACACCTAGGACTCTACAAAACACCTAGGGCTTGAAAACCACTGGTGTAGCACATTCCTACTAGAGTTTAAGATCTAGGAAGAGCCTGGACTATTATAATATCCTCAAATTTCAGATGAGGAGAATGGCCCAAATAGTGTAAATGACTTGTTTAAGAGCAGACAGCTGAACTCAGATCTCTAACATTTCTACAAAAAGGAATTTTACACCTGAGTTCTGAAGACTTCTCTTTAGAAATCTTCAGAACCTAGGTGAACAGTACACAAAACCATTCCTATGTAAACATATGCTTTGAGTTTATTTTTCAAAGTAATTTATCCCTTGGCAATCATAGTTTTTTGTTTCTATTTTTTAACTTACAAGTGTTTGCTCCGTTTTTTTACTAAGCCTTGTTTACAGATGATACTAAAGTAAACCAAAGCCTATCAAAAGATTACACACCCCCTATTTTCTGGAATCTCAACAACTGAAGTTTTGAAAAATTAGAAAAATTAAGATTGCAAAATACTTAAACTCTTCCTTAAGAACAAAAGAGGTGGACATGGTGGTTCACACTTGTAATCCCAGCACTTTGGGAGGCCAATGTGGAAGGATTGCTTGAGCCCAGGAGCATAAGACCAGCCTGTTCAGCAGGCCATGGACTTAAAATAGATACATAGACAGATAGATAGATAGATAGATAGATAGATAGATAGACAGACAGATAAAGACCAGCCTGGGCAACACAGTGAGACCCCATTTCTTAAAAAAGAGAAAACAAAAGGGGAATTTCAACAAGGGTGACAAGACAATTAAATAGGAAAAAACAGTCTTCAACAAATGTTACTGAGATAACTGCATCCTCACATAAAAGAATGCAAACAATAACAAGTATTGGTGAGGATGTGGACAAAATGAAACCTTCCCACATTGCTGGTTAGATTTTAAAGTGGTGTTAAACACGTCAAAAGGTTAAACAGAGTTACCACAAGACCCGGCCATTACACTCCTAGGTGTACAGCCAAGAGAAATGAAAACTTATGTCCACACAAAAACTTGGGCATGAATGTTCATAGCAGCATTATCCACAATAGCCAAAAAAGAAAAACAACCCCAATGTTCAACAATGATGAATGGATAAACAAAAGATGGTATAGCCATACAATGGATTATTTGACAATAAAAGTGAATGAAGTATTGAAACACACTGTGAACCTCAAAAAAATTGTGTTAAAAACAGTATGTAAGAGACCACACATTATGATTCCATTTATATGAAACGTCCAAATAGGCAAATCTATAGAGGTAGAAAGTAGATTAATGATTGCCAGAAGGGAGACAGAGAAGGAGAGGGGTGAATGGGTTGTGACTGCTAATGGGTACACAGTTTCTTTCTGGGATGATTAAAATGTTCTAAAATCGGCCAGGCGCAGTGGCTCATGCCTGTAATCCCAGCACTTTGGGAGGCCGAGGCAGGCGGATCACGAGGTCAGGCGATCGAGACCATCCTGGCTAACACGGTGAAACCCCGTCTCTACTAAAAGTACAAAAAATTAGCCGGGCACGGTGGCGGGTGCCTGTAGTCCCAGCTACTAGGGAGGCTGAGCCAGGAGAATGGCGTGAACCCGGGAGGCGGAGCCTGTAGTGAGCTGAGATCGCGCCACTGCACTCCAGCCTGGGCGACAGGGCAAGACTCCATCTCCCAAAAAAAAAAAAAAGTTCTAAAATCAAATTGCAGTGATAGTTGCACAACTCTTTCCGTAAAAACCACTGAATGAGGTAATTATATGTGAATTGTATCTCAATAAAGCTATTAAGAAAAAAACACCAAAAGGGGGCAGTGGTTAGTAGCCTTTCTAACTCCAGTGAGAGTTTCAATTATACTTTCTAATCATAATTTTTAGGTCTGTATTTAACATCTTTGCTTGAGGGATTAAAGGGGAGGGCCTTCTAATGAAGCTTTTAATTAAATTAAGATAATGAAGTACTGATGAAGCTAATGTTAAACCCTGATAGGGCTAATGGACAGGCACCCCCAAGATACATCTAACCAATACATTCACCAAATTTCTGGCAGATTCTTTATTTCTTTTATAAGGCCCATATTTGCATTTTTGTTAAGTTAGGCTGTCCCTCTCCTTAGTCTCTTTAAAAATATAAGCTAATGCTTTGGTTTATGTTAGATCCCCTTTTTCACCTCTATCTTTTCACTTTCTTTGAATGAGTATGTATTCTAAATGCACATTTCGTTTTCTAACTTTCTGTCTTTCCTTCAGGCAATTTTTTAAAAATCTATTTCTGTCAAAGTGGTTTTAATTCAGAGTTACTAGTACATATCTAAGAAGCAGCTTTTTTAAGTATAATGGGTTGAGCTGGGCTCTGTGATGACAAAAGGCAGTACCTTCGTTACTAGCACTATTAAGACTTCCTACTTATAAAGCACTTCACTTACGTCATCTAACTTAATTAAAGACTGTGCACTGCAGGCACAAGGTAATTATGGCCAAAAACAATTGGGGCAGGGATAGTAAATATGCTTATTATGATGTTATGAACCTATATTCCTAGAATGAAAGGGTTCACTTTCTAAATGACTGTCCCTCAAAGCTCTGAATATACTTACTAGGTAATTAAACTTGGAAGATTTTTCACTATGTCCATGTACCTGCATTTCTTATTTGAACTCTGTCAATAATTTTTAAAACTTTTAAAAAAAGACAAGGGATGAATTCTGCTTCACTCAAAGGGGCATATTTTACAAGTATATTATAAATATTTGGTATGTTGTTTTATCACTAGAAAAAAAGTTTTAAAATCATTCATATTAAATTGTTAGCTCATGTTTCATAAAGTTTTTCTTTTTTATTTAAAAAATTTTATAAATAGACACGGGGTCTCATTTTTTGCCCAGGCTTGTCTAGAACTCCTGGACTCAAATGATCCTTACATCTCGGCCTCCCAAAGTGCTGGTATTACAGGCATGAGCCGCCATGCCCAGCCCCATTTCATAAAGTTTTAAGGAAATCCAATACACAAATATTTCAAAAATGAGGCCAAGCTAAATAAGTAATAAGGGAAAAATTAGGACAAGTTTGGCAGATCACAAGTTAAATGCAGAAATACCAGCTTCCACAATAAAAGCAAAATATCAGGAAAAAGTCATATTAAGATTCCCATCAAATAAAACTGGATACTAGTTTAAACCAAAGAAAAACAAATGTCAGTTTAAAAGAACCTACAGTTTTCATTGGCATTGAAGCCTCTAAGAATGGCCTTCAGTTCTTGCAGCTTCTGATGAGCTCTTGCATGGACGCTGTCAATCAGGAGTTTTTCTATTGATAAGTGGTCAATCTGCATAAATAAGAACAACAAATTCATACATGCAATTTAAACATTTTTACTTTAAAAGCCCAACAGTAGATTACTGTGCTTCAAAATATTTTCTTTTGGAATCACATTGATTAAGTGTTAACCACTAATAGAAAGCAAACTTAAAGATAAAAATTAACTAACATGGTATTGAGTTAAAAATTAACTTACATGGTATTGATAGCTTAAAAACTATAGTTAACATTTTGGTAAGTGCAGGCAAAGATATTACAAATTAGTTATGGTGCCCTAATGCCAGACCTTAAAATTAAAATGGTATCTGATCTAAATTATAAAATATGAAAGAATATCTTAAAAATTATATATTATAGTATCAGGTGTTTTTAAAAAAATAACAAATGTAAGAAGTGTAACATTTACTTAAAATAAGTTTCATAAAAGGTTTTAGGAAGAATTAGATATTTTTTAAAATTTATGCTAAGTTTAAGGATAAATGGCAAGTTACATTCATTTAAACCAATATTAAAATATATTGAGATCTTTTACCTTCATGGCTCTTTCTACTAATTTGGAATCAGAAGCTGGCAAAGGAGGATCATGAAAAATCTGTAAAGGCTTGGAGACATCATTCTCATCAATTTTAATTGTAACTTTGTGAACAGATGCTGTTCCAGTTTTTCTCCCAAGAACCTGTTGACTAGAGAAAAAAAATGAAGAATTTTTTTCAACACAGTCTGTTAACTTCTAGAATAAAATAGAGACAATCCATTGTGCAGTTTAGCCAGAGCCTGGAATATGGCAGGCCCTCAGTGTTTGTGGAGGGAATAATAATGGGAAGATAGCTATTCTGTAATCCAATACAATATTTGATTTATTGCATTAAGATATATAATTTAAAAATAAAACATATACACACACGAAAAAGAACCCCAAAACAAAAACTACCTGTCTTCAAAGTGGCATCTACTCACCTCTGACTCCTTTACAGAAAATGGTGGTCATTTGGGATAATAAGATGCGGGGGTGGGGAGAAAAACAGGAATCAAATAAAGTTCAAACAGGGAATTGAGAGTTGTAAACAGTCCAATACCGATTTTCTCCCAAAGAAAAGTTTTTAACAGGCACAATTCAAAGTGGAAAACTGTGGTAAGCATGTATGTTTTTAAAAATGATATCCAACAATCTAACCTAATGGTCTTTTAGCAATTTGGTATAAGTCCAGAGTAAACTAACCTCTCAAACTTTTTAAGAATAGTAAGTCTTAGTACAAATAGGTAAATGTCTATGTATTTAAAACATGTTCTACGACAGGTGTCAACTATGGATGTCCTAGGTGGTCTACATAATACCATGGGACCTTACTAAACAAAAGCATCTTACTAGAGGTACATAGCTATTGGTATACAGTCATTCCTTGGTATACTTGGAAGACTGGCTCCAGGATTCCTGTCCCAATACCAAAATCCATGCAAACTCATGTCTTGCAATCAATTCTGCAGTCAGCCAGCAGAACCCACGTATAGGGAAGGTTGGCCCTATATGCAGGTTTCGCATCTTGCAAATTGATCTGCATATAAGTGGACCCACACAATTCAAGCTTGTGTTATCCAAGGGTCAACAGTATATTAAATCAGATGTATGAGAGAAAAACAGAAATAAAAGAGTATTTACAGTCATAGCACGAACCCACCAGAACTGATTTTACTTACTTCCAAACTGAGAGGGAGAGGCACTTTCCAGCATGATACCTTTCCACCTGTACAAGGTCTCCCCACCGTTCTCGGATTAACATTAGAGTTTGGGAATGTAACACTTCTAACTGAAGTGATAAACAGAAAGAATCTGATAGATGTTGTTAAGTAAAATTAATATGTTATACCAACAGTCAATCAAATACAGGCAACCTTCATTTAAGAAAGGCTCTCTTATTGAAAAACTGGAGAAAAATTTCCGAAGAAAACTTCTGAAATGATTATTTCTCCAATGGCTCATCCTAAAAAGTGTTATAATTTATAGCATAATTTCAGAAAAAGGTTTTATATTTAATTTTAAACCAATATAAAACCATAAAGTCTGGGTTGTGTCTTAATTTGTCATAGTTTAGAGAACACAGATTGACCAAAGAGTACTATTTTTTTCACCAAACAGTACTTTTTTATTATTATTATTTTTTGCTTGTGTGTGACGGAGTCTTGCTCTGTCATCCAGGCTGGAGTGCGGTGGCACGATCTCAGCTCACTGCAACCTCTGCTTCCTGGGTTCAAGCGACTCTCCTGTCTCAGGCTCCCTAGTAGCTGGGATTACAGGTGCTCACCACCACAACAGGCTTTTTTTTTTTTTTAAGTAGAGACGGGGTTTCACCATGGTGGCCAGGCAGGTCTTGAACTCCTGACCTCAAGTGATACACCCGCCTCAGCCTCCCGAAGTGCTGGGATTACAGGCGTGAGCCACCATGCCCAACCTCAAACAACACTATTTTTAACTAATCACTTTTTGCTTTTACCTGTAAAGTCAACAGTAAAATTTTAAATTTGGTTTATTATAAACATATCACTATTCTTCACAGTGGCCAGTTCTCCAGCTCTATTTGCACCCTAAAAAGGGTGGGGGAGATGGGGGCAAGGAATGTAGACTGCTACAGTACAAGACTAAGGCCAAATGAAAAATGTGGGAGAGGTACCACAAAATCCTTACAAATACATGTCTCAAATATCAGAAGGATACGTAGGCAGTTGTACATATCCTGAAGAGGTTTCTCATCAGCAAAGAGCCTAGACTGCACCAGCTGATGGATGAAGCTGATTTGCATGCTATGAACCAAAGCTCGCCCATCTTCCATTGGCAGAAGAAAAGAAGGTAGTTAATCAAATAGGTGTACAAATGTGTCACTATACCAACTAAGGAAGCACATAACAACAATGAATTTTTTTAAGAAGCACTGAAATTATCTACAGAAACTTGACATTGTACTCTGAGAAACACTGAAACTTCCACGGTCAATAGGTAGATACAATTACAAAACTTGCTTCAAATTACAGGATAAATTGCTACACACATTTATTATTTTGCAGGAATATATATATATATTTTAGAGACAGGACCTTGCTCTGTCACCCAGGCTAGAGTGCAGTGGCATGATCATGGCTCATTGCAGCCTCAACCTCCCTGGGCTCAGGTGATCCTCCCACTTCCCAACCCCAGCCTCCCAAGTAGCTGGGACTATAGGAGCACAACACCACACCTGGTTAATTTTTAAATTTTTTTTAGAAATGGGGTCTTGCTATATTGTCCAGGCTGGTCTCAAACTCCTGAGCTCAAGCAATCCACCTGCCTCGGCCTCCCAAAGTAGTGGGATTACAAGCATGAGCCATAATCCCCAGCTGGGAATATTTCAATAATATAAAAATATCAAACATTTAAATTAATACTTATGATTTAAATCACTACTTATGATTTACCTCCTGTTTCCTTATCCTCAACTAGAATTTCTAGCTTGAGAAGACGCCATGGAACATCAGGGTCATCTCCCATCACAGTCAAGGTGGCTTCAAATTCTCCTTCAACACGAAACTTCACCCGGCCATTTGCTTTTAGAAGAAAAAGATGAAGAAAAAGAAGTGTACTTTGCTAGAAAATGAGAATCTTCCCCCGACCTAGAACTTTGAGTCTTACTTATAAAAATTTTTAAATAGATTGAAGGTTCTTTCATAAGGTTCCAACAATTCAATGGTTCCTGAATAAGAAGTAGCCAGCTTCCAGGTCAAGAAATGAAAGGCAACTCTTCTAATATAAATGAACAATATTTTCTTGAGGCTCAACTCTGGGGAGCCTTCTCTCTTTCCAGCCCCACTCCCAAGCTGCAAATACCAGCACTGTATTTCTGGGTACTAAAGAGAAATGACAAGTCATAGAATCAAACACCATAAAACTGTCAGTCAAATCTTCACAATGCTATTTCTTTGAATAAAACCCAAAAAGCTGCTCAGGAAAATATTCTAACATGCAAATTCTGTCGCCCAGGCTGGAGTACAGTGGTGCAATCTTGGCTCACTGCAACCTCTGCCTCCCAGGTTCAAGCAATTATCATGCCTCAGTCACCCAAATAGCTGGGATTACAGGTGCGTGCCACCACACCCAGCTAATTTTTGTATTTTTAGTAGAGATGGGGTTTCACCATGTTGGCCAGGCTGGTCTCAAACTCCTGACCTCAAGTGATCTGTCTGCCTCAGCCTCCCAAAGTGCTAAGATTACAGGCATGAGCCACTGCACCTGGCCATCAAGTCTTAAAAAAAAATAAATTTCAGATACATACCAACTGTAAGATTTGCTAACTGAGGAGGAAGATCTGTGGTTACAAGCCGATGTCTAAGAATCTGATTCAACTGATGGAGTGTGGCTTGTTTTTCAATTTTGGTAATTGGGTCTGGAGGAATAATTTTATCCTGCAAAAAAATTTAAGTGATTTGTAAATAATGTACGAAAAGGGATTTAAAAAAAAATCTTTTCCTGTTTTTATACAGTGTTTTCGATTTTACCTAAGAGAATCTCAACACACATTTCTGCAGTCTACATCCAAAAATAATGGCCATAACTATCATGCATAAGAGCAACAATGATTCCGGTCATTTAGCTAAGATCATAATACAACATGACCTCCTTTATGCTCTATTTACAAAGCAACTAAATATCACTTGATAACTTCCACAAGTTCTTACAAGTATAAAATACAATATGGCACCAAGTCAGTAAACTACCAAAACAATAAAAGTTTAAAACACTTTCAAAAAGCAACTAGCATGTAGCATTTTCACATCTGAAATAGATGTTATGTCTGCACATCTGCGCTCCCCTGGGGAAAAAAAAATAAAACCTTCACCCATTTTGATATCTATTCACATCTGGCCCCAACTTATTTCAAAAAAGTACAACTTTAGTTATAGAGAAAAAAGCAAACTATATATACTGTTTGTTTTAACAATGTTTTTTGCTGGGCTACTTAATAATACAATCCAACCCAATGGCAAAACCTTTAGTTTTTAGGAACATGGGGGCAAAGCACTTACCCTAATGCAGGTTGGCAGCCGTGGGTAAGAGCCAGTAGTCAGTACATCAATGGCATATGGGATGGCAAAACTAGGCAGGCGTGCATGGACCAGAGCATCTCTAGCTAACGAGGCCAGGCGATCAGCAGTGTCCACAAACAGGATGGCTTGCTGATCTAAAAAGCTTGAAATCATCTTTAAAGTAAAGGGTAAATGTATTAAGCATTCCTGAAAACTATCTCCTTTTCACACTAAATATTGTTAAATCATTCCAAAGTAAACTTCAAGGGGAATTAATATAATTAGTTTTCCCTATTTCAAAGTGGTTCTTCAAACATTCTCCAGTAATTTGAAGAAGAAATATTTAATACATTTGTATTTAAGAGCAATAATTTTCTGTCACTTTAAGTAAAAGCTTTCTAATTCATTTATCCATTCTTAACATTATACATACATAATATCAAAGTTAGGAAAAATAAGTAGAATAAAATGGTTTTTTCTTCTTACAGACTTCCAGAGTTGGTTGGTAATGAAGGAGTTAAAAGCATGTATTCCTAGACCCAGACTGCCTTGTTCTCCATTTTAATTCTACTACTTACTAGCCTTGTAACCTTGGGCGAGTAACTTAACCTCTTTGTGCCTCAGTTTTTTCAGCTGTAAAATGGAGGTGATCATGATTACCAATCTCATAAAGTTGTTCTCAGGATTAACAGTTAATGCAAAATAGAGAACACAGAAATCCACACATAGCCAACTCATTTTCCAAAAAAGCACCAAGAACATACACTGGGGAAAGGGCAGTTTCTTTAATAAATGGTGCTGGGAAAACTCGATAACCATATGCAAAAGAATGAAACTAGACCCCCATCTCTCACGCTATACAAAAATCAACTGAAAATGAATTAAAGGCTTAAGCGTGAGACCTGAGACTATGAAACTACCAGAAAAAAGCATTGGGAAAATGCTCTAAGACATTAGCCTGGGCTGGGCGCGGTGGCTCACGCTTGTAATCCCAGCACTTTGGGAGGCCGAGGCAGGCAGATCACGAGGTCAGGAGATCGAGACCATCTTGGCTAACACGGTGAAACCCCATCTCTACTAAAAATACAAAAAAGTTTGTGGGGCGTGGTGGCATGCGCCTGTAGTCCCAGCTACTCGGGAGACTGAGGCAGCAGAATGGCGTGAACCCAGGAGGTGGAGCTTGCAGTGAGTCGAGATCACGCCATGGCACTCCAGCCTGGGCAACAGAGCGAGACTCCATCTCAAAAACAAACAAACAAAAAAAGACAAGCAACAAAAGCAAAAATAGACAAAAGAGATTATATCAAGCTAAAAAGCTTCTGCAAAGCAAAAGAAATAATCAACAGTATGAAAAGACAACCCACAGAACAGGAGAAAACGCCTGCAAAATATCCATCTGACAAGGGATTAATATCCAAAATACATAAGGAACTCAACTCAATAGCAAAATAAAGCCAAATAACTCCATTTTTAAAATGAGCAAAATACCTGAATAAACATTTCTCAAAAGAAGACATACAAATGGCCAAAAGGTATTATGAAAAAAATGCAACATTACTAATCATCAAGGAAATGTAAATAAAAACCACAATGAGATATCATCTCATCCCAGTTAAAATGACTATTATCAAAAAGACAAAAAATAACAGATGCTTGTGAGGATGTGGAGATGTGGAGGAAAGGGAACCCTCACGCTGTTGGTGGGAATGTGAAGTACTACAGCCACTACAGAGAACACTATGGAAGTTCCTCAAAAAAAAAAAAAAAAAAACTAAAAATAGGCTGTGTGTGGTGGCTCACATATGTAATCCCAGCGTTTGGGGAGGCAGAGGCAGGAAGATTGCTTGAGCCCAGGACTTGCAGACCAACCTGGACAACACAGGGAGACCCTGTCTCCACAAAAAAATAAAAAACAAACAAATTAGCCTGGCATAGTGGTGTATGCCTGTGGTCACAGCTACTAGGGAGGATCACTTGAGCCCAGGAGGTTGATGCTGCAAAGAGCCATGACTGTGCCACTGCACTCCAGTCTGGGTGACAGAATGAGACCCTGTCTCAAAAAACAAACAAACAACAACAGCAAAACACTAAAAATAGAATTCCCATAAGATCCAGCAATTCCACTGCTGAGTATATATCCAAGAGAAAGGAAATCAGCATGCCAAAAAGACACCTGCACTCCCAGGTTTACTGCAGCACTATTCACAATAGCCAAGATACAGAATCAACCCAAGGGTCCATCAACAGATGAATACAGAAAATACAGTACATATACACAATGGAATACCATTCAGCCATAAAAAAGAATGAAAGCCTGCCATTTGCAACAGCATGGCAGTGTGTTCACTGTGAAGCGAAGGTCACTATGTTAAATGAAATAAGCCAGGCACAGAAAGACAAATATTGCACATTCTCTCTCATATGTGGGAGTTAAAAAAGTGGATATCATGGAAGTAGAGAGTAGAATGTTGGTTAAGATAAGCTGGGAACGGGGGAGGAGGTATGAAGAAAAGTTGGTACAAAAATACAGTTAAAAGGAATAAGTTCTAGTATTTGATAGTAGAGTAGGGAAATGATAATTAACAGTAATTTATTGTATATTCAAAACAACAAGAACTGTAACATTCCCAACACAAAGAAGAATGTCTGAGGTAATGAACATCCCAATTATCCTGCCTTGATCACTATGTACATGTATCAAAATATCACATGTACCCCCAAAATATGTACAACTATGATATATCAATTGAAAAAAAAAAGAGTTAACACATAAAAAACCTTTAGAACAGTGCCTAGAAAGAACATAGAAAACACTCCAAAACACCCATTATGAGATACAGGTCCACTTCATGCCCAATACAGAAATCCTTTCCATCAGTTTTCTACCCAATGCATTTCATAAGGATACCTAAACTAGTAGAGCTCATCACAGAGCTAAAAACTACCTCACTAAAACTTTTATCTTCTAGTTCATGGTTTGTTTGTTGTTGTTGTTGTTTTGTTTGGGAGACAGAGTCTCGCTCTGTCCCCCAGGCTGGAGTGCAGTGGCACGATCTCTGCTCACTGTGACCTCCGCCTCCCAGGTTCAAGCAATTCTCCTGGCTCAGCCTCCTCAGTAGGTGGGATTACAGGGGTGAACCACCACCCCCAGCTAATTTTTGTATTTTTAGTAAAGACGGGGTTTCACTATGCTGGCCAGGCTGGTCTTGAACTCCTGACCTCAGGTGATCCACCCGTCTCAGCCTCCCAAAGTGCTGGTTTTACAGGTGTGAGTCACTGCACCCGGCCATCTTCTGGTTCTATTCTAGAACAATACTTAAAGTTTTCTCTCTCATGTCCTTCAAACAGGCTGTCAGTGGCCAACTTAAAACATAGTACCCAGAATTAATACCAACATCACAAAAACACAGTGCTCTACAATTTCTTAGTGTTTTCAAACACTTTATTTGATTTTTGCAACTCTAGGAAGTACAACCAGATAATTACTATGAGCTTAGAGATGAGAAAATTGAGGCTTAGGTTAAGACACTTGCCCAAAAGGTCAATAATCAGAAGAGGTGAAACAATAACAACAAAAATATTTCTTCTAATTCTTAGTTAGACCCAATATACAGCATGGTCCAGTAAAAATGCTACCTTCTATGACTAGTACAATGAATTTCTATCAATGCCACCAACATTAACTTCTTATCAACAGTCATGACACTGCTAATACATTCTCAACTTTTTAACAGGCTTTTACTCAGATTTAGGCCATCTCGTATCTCCCTTAACTCAGGTCACTGTAAAAATGCTTATCAGACCAACGTCAAGCTCAAAGAGTACCAAAGACCTCCCCAGCAGAAAGACATGCATCAACCCTACTGGGATGCCACAGTTATCCAGCCCCTATCGCTCCACTTAAACATAAACAATGAATGAAACACTATCTAAACTACTTCACTGAACTCAAAATACACTAGCTTCAGCTACATTTCTTGAACTTAGAAATATAATTAATCAAGATAAAACGTGGCTGGGTGTGGTGGCTGACACCTGTAATCCCCAGCAGTTTGGGAGGTGGAGGCGGGAAGATTGCTTGAAGCCAGGAGTTCGAAACTAGGCAACCAAGTAAGACCCCAACTCTACAAAAACTTTTTAAAAATTAGATGGGCACAGTAGTGTGTGCCTGTGGTCTCAGCTACTCAGGGAGGCTGAGGTGGGAGGGCTGCTTGAGCCCAGAAGTTCGAGGTTGCAGTGAGCTGTGATTACACCACTGCACTCCAGCCTGGATGACAGAGTGAGACTCCATGTCTTAAAAAAAAAAAAAAAAAAAAGATAAAACTTGAGTTTTGAGTAACCGACTAGTGAATCCATTCACATAGATAGTCTTAGTTCACAAGAACTAATCCATGTTATTTTTAAGTATTCACACACCAGCTGTGAATATGTTTAATAATAATCTCCTTTAGAATTTAACACTGAATAAATGTTTCTCTAAACAAGACACACAAATGGCCAATAAGCACATGAAAACATGTTCATCATCACTGGTCATTAGGAAAATACAAATTAAAACTTTAATGAGATGCCACTTCATACCTATTAGGATGGCTAGACTCAAAAAGTCAGGTAACAACAAGTGTTGGCATGGATGTGGAGAAACTAAACTTCCATACATTGCTGGTGGAAATGTAAAATGGTGTGGCCACTTTGTAAAACAGTCTGGCAGTTCCACAAAAAGTTCAACAAAGAGTTACCATATGACCTAGCCATCCCACTCCTAGGTATACACTCAAGATAAATAAAAGCATACATCCAGACAGTTGGACATGACTATTTACAACAGCATTAGTCATAATAATCCAAAACTGGAAACAACCCAAATGCCTATTAACTGAACAGATAAACAAAATGTAGTATATCCATGCAATTCAGCCATAAAAAGGAATGAAGTAGTGACGCATGCTATCACATGAATCAATCTTGAAAATACTACACTAAAAAAAAAATGCTAAGTTAAAGAAGCCAATCACAACACAACACATTTGATTCCATTTATATGAAATGTTCAGAACAGGCACATCTATTGAGACGAAGTAGATTAGCGGCTGCTTAGGGCTAGAGGAGAGCTGGGGGTGACAACTAAAGGGCACAGGTTTTCTTTCTGAGGTGATTAAAATGTTCTAAAATTG